AGTTAAAAGCATGTGAAACACTTCATGTTTTCTGCCATAGCATCATTTCCAAAGCATTTCTGGTTGCTGCTGGCCCAGGAGAAAGGCAGTGTCACCTTTCCCTGCCTTCCAGAGGAGTTTTGTGAGAGCTGGTACATGAATTAATCAAAACATGAACCTTTAAGGCTGCGTAGTGCAGCCTCCCCTAGGTGAGAGCTGAAGGCATGCTCTGAAAACAAGTGGGGCTTCCACTTACCAAAATGCAAGCAAAATCTCATTGTGGCTTCGTTTGGGGTTTTTTGTTTGTTTGTGGTTTGGGTTTTTGGTTTTGTTTTGCTTTGCATATATACATAGAAATATTCAGAGTTGCAGGACCAGTAATTTTATTTGTGAAAGAATGAAACACAAAGCCAGACTGGTTTGGGGTCAGGGGGACCCTGGTATGGTCTGGGGACAAGAGGCAAACAGCTGCTGGCCAGGCTGGGCAGCAAAGCAGATTTCAGACTCTTTCAGCAGAACCAGTTGCTCTGCAGCAGCTGCTTCTGAGTCCCTGCAGAGCCCAGGTGTTGGTGTCTATTGCTAGGTTTAGCTGTAATAGCCATAAAAATGGAACTGAAAGGGTTTGGGGTTGGGTTTTACCCTTAAAAAGTTTCCTGTAATTACAAGGTGAGAGTGTATTTTGCCACGAGATTGTCCAGTTGTAGAGTGCTCAGCACGTAGGACTATTTTGGAAAAGAAAAAAAAAGCAGGGGGAGCTGAGTTTTGACTCATGAATAACATTTGAAAATTACTGTTTAGCAAAGCTTAATTCCCTGGCTGATGGTTGGTTACTAAACGTGACTGTGAACAACAGTGGCATTTAAACTGAGCAGGGCAGGGTGCCCCCATCTTTGGCTCTGCATGCATCAGGTGCTGCTGTGGCCGTGCTTCAGGGTAATAGGAAGCTCATTAAACCTTTACTTACCATATGCGGTTTAACAGCATCCTTTGAGTTTCACTCGAACCTGATGGTGCTTGACTAATGCAAAGGAGTGGTCACTGTAGCAGTCTCTGGAGGCTTGTGGAGAGAGGAAATACTTTTTACATGGCCAACATCACCTCAGGGGGAATGGACTGGCTTTCAGTCCTCCACCAGCAGCACCTGCACCCACCCCTGTGTGGCAAACTGCAGCCTCTGCTGCTATTCATCCAAGGGCTCACAGCTTTGAGAGCATCCTGCAGCTTTTATAAAATATTTATTTCTTGTGATCTCTGATGATACTGGTATAAAGTTGTCATTTCTGGGCCTCAGCCTCAGCTCAGTTGATTTGAAGTTCAAATTGCAGAGCCCAGGAGCCTGGCAGATGGTGGCAGGGGTGGATGTTTCTTGTAACTCCACAGAAAGCAGATGTGTTCAAGGCAACTGCAGAGGTGTTGTGGCAAGAAAAAGCAGAAGTGAGACTCTCCGACCTTATGCTGGTGTATCTCTAGTGAAAACTGCCAGCTGTTTCCGTCGGCACTACACGGGTCACTGTCCGTGGCCTGTCGCGGCTCGCTGTGCCCTCAGGGCCGATGGCGCTGTGCGGGCTGGGCCCTGCCCGGACCCCGAGCAGGGGAGGAGGCGGCGATGCTGCAGCCGTGGGACCCCGTGGGCTGCGGCACCGCTCCGCGGGCACTGCGTGGGGCTGAGCGGGGCCTGTCCCTCCCTGCTGGGACTGCTTGTGGCTCATCCTTCCCTTAAAAAGGGAGCTTGCAGTGCCGAGTTGTGTTCCCTTTGCAGTCCGGTTAAACAGCTCTGCAGGTGGCGCAGGGCCAGCGCGGCCGGGCGTGCCCCAGACAGGGAGCCGCGACCGGGGCAGGCCGGGCTGGCACAGGAGGAGCTGGAAGCTCCCGGTGGGATGCAGCCCCATGTCGCTGGAGGGGATTCCAGCCTGCTCGCTCCTGCCCAGGCATCCTTGAGCACCGGGCAGCGTTTTCTGCCTGACCTCGCTGGGGAGGGCCCTGAGGGGGTCCGTGAGGCGGCACTGGCAGCACCAAAGCCGGGCCCCGACCCCCGCAGCGCTGCCGGCTCGGCTGCTGAGCACTGACGCTGCCAGCTTCTGCTTGTTATTTACTTCTCCATTTATCTCTCTTTCCTCCTTTCTCTCCCGGCCCACTTTCCTGCAGAATGGTTTCAGTGCTTCTCGGCTGGGTGGCAGCGGTGTCACAGCCCCCCCAGCAGAGCCTGCCCCTCTCCCAGACACAGCTGTGCCGTCAGCAGCCAGGGCCACGACGCGGCACGCGAAAAAATGGTTCAGAAAAGGCAAAACACTAAAATGGCCCCAGGAGATTTTAATTTCTTTCCCTTCTTCTGTCTGCTTTAACTTTTCAGATCAGTAACATTAATGAGCTGTGGTGAAGTGAAGTAAATAATCACCTACGCCAAAGACAGCGCATTGATTGTTAAGTCTCTCCTCACTAATTAGTGACGGCCTTTGTAGGGACTGACAGCAGCACTTAAACCTCTGGCAGCAGGAAGGCAAAGCAACACAGTGGAAAGGGAAAAAACAAAAGACCTTTGCTTGTTTTCTGACTTCATCATGTTTTTACTAGAATCATACTGGCATAGTTTAAAAAAGCTACTGTTTTTTGAACAGATCTATTGGTGTATCATAAATTTGAATTACCTTAAAAAAATTATTCCAGTTTACTGCTCAGTCCAAACAACCCATGTAAAAAGGTGGGTAGCAGTCAGCATCAAGGTGACTGCAGGGAAAAAAGTTGTATCACCATTTAATAATTATTGTAATTCTGCTGCTTAACCGAACAAGGACCAGTGTAAGTATTGAGGAGTCTTGCTGAGGTGCCTAAAGGTCAAGGCACTGTCCTCACAGTGCTTGCACATCTCACAGGAGCAGCAAAGAACATTCCTGAAACTGTCTGTTAGAAATTTCACCTGGGTTCACTTCTAAATTTTTGGTAAATGATGTTTCCCTTTGTTAATACAACAATAACTAATACATCTTGTAGTTTCTTCCTCTTAAAACAATGAATTTTAAAATATGGATATGCAATAAGTATGATACTCCATTTTTATGTGATTATGCTATTCTGTATTTATAAATTAATTGTTGCAAAGACACATGCCTACCTAACAAAACAAAAAAGGAGAAGTTACCAAATAGTATACTGGCAGCCAGTGAGTTACATCTGTTCAAAGGTCATGAAGAAGGCTTTATATAAGAGAATGTGCAGGTCAGTACAGACCTGAGATGAGTTCATAATATGGATGAAGAGCATCCATAATTGAGACAGAAATAACAGAATACTTGTTAGTTTTGATCAGGAAATTTGGTTCTCTTAAGACAGGTAAGGGGAGCTCTTTCCAGATATTTTTTAAATTAATGACAAAAGCCAGAAAGTAAGTGAGAAAAATTGTTCATATGCTTTTCTACTTAAAAGACTAATAGAAAAATATGACTGTCACTGTCATTCACTGAGACTCATAGTTTTCCCTGACTACTTTCTCATGTCTCTGGTATCTGAAGTGTTCACTGTAAAATGGATTATTTGTCTTGCAAATGCCCATGTTTGGGGGTTAAACCACACCTGAGAGGCCTCATTCTCTCTCCTCCCTTATGTGTCCCAGTTTGGCCCCAAAGTGGTGCATGAAGTAGTAATAGAATAATAATACAGGACACTAGAGCCACATGCCTCTGAGTGTTCAGAGGAATGCCAGGACATAATTCCAAAAGTGCATGAAATCAGGCTGCACAGCTTGTTTATAGTGACATTGACAGGACCTACTTGTAAAAGAAATGAGGTTAAAATTAATGACCAGGTGAATCTGCATATGTAATTTATCAGAGCAAGCAACCAATAAAAAAGAATTACTCTAATTAAAGCCAGTAGCACAGGAGGGGAAGGATACTCTTAAGAACCCCCAACAGTATCCAATCAAGCATTGTGTATGTTTAGTCTCCTTGCCTTTAGGTTTAAGCCCCAGTACCCTTTAGGGTAGTGAGGGGCATGGGGTTACTCACCTGTCCCAGCTCAGGTGTTCAGTCACACCACACCACATGCTTGTTTCCCATGAGCAAACAGGCTCTCCTCTGAAGTAAGGGTTATCTGTTTTCACATGTTGGATGTCATCCTAAGCATGCAAGAAACTATATCTGACAGAACTTGCCCTCTTATGTGATCAGCTTGCACTGTTTTCAAAGAGCTCCACTGAAACCGGAGTGAACACGAAGTGATGGATATTTATTTTTCCCTCTTTCCTAATAGTTTGTCAGTAGACATGTTCTGGGAACAGGTTTCCTTTTAGTGCAGGTTTCAATGGTTCTGTTCCTGCCCTTGGTGGCAGGTGCCAGCTGGGGAGGGGATGCCAGGCCCTGAGCACTTTGAACAAGAAGCACCAACACAAGATGTTCTCTAAATATTTTCTCGCAGTACTGTTTTTAGTATCTGGTGAGGATGCAGTGGGATCACTGTGCTCACAGTCCCAGTGAATTACCACCATGACAGAATTTTTCTCTCCAGCCACAGATAAATCAGCAGTGGCCAGTTGAGTCGGGTTTGCAATGAGCTCCTGACTCTCCTTTGGCTGCTGTTTCTTCTGTTCTTTGCCCTTCCTGTAATACTGAATGCACAACCCAGTTGATCTATGGATCAATGTTATCCAGAGCCTTGGAGAGGTGAGGAATGACTGCAGGGACAATTCTCCTTACAGGTCACCTCCCACCTCTGGGGAAGGCTGCAGGAACACCACACACAAGGTGAACAGGGAAAGGGAAAAGGGCTCAAGACATGCACTGCAACAGAGCAGTGTGCAGCAGGAATGCAGCTGTGTCAATAATACTTACAGAGCCAGGATTTTGCATCATCCTGAAGGAAACAAATGCCACAAAAGCTGCAAAGAAAACCCCCTCCTTAAAAATTCAGTGATGAGAAAGTAGACTTACATTATTAACAAAGCACAGTTTTAATAGAAATGTTTAGGCTTACATTTCAAAATTACTTACAAATAAACGTAATCACAATGTATATATTCTTTTCTTTAAAAAAAAACCAACCATATTCATTCTAACATAATATATATTTTCTGAGTTATAAAATCCCATATAAATAGCAAATTCTTCTCAGTACACAGATTACAAGAATTCATAGAAACTGGGATGCATATCTGAAAAGAATCCTGAGTATGCATTCCACAACTGGCAGAAAATAGATCAATGCTAGAGTTGGACACAAGAAATGCTGTTGTCCCAGTATGTAATTTTCCAAAAAGAAAGAAACAAACAAAAAACACAAAAAAAACCAAACAAAAAACTGAGAACTTTTTGGTTGCTCAACCTTGTTCAGCTCCCTAGACTCAGGAATGGCTCTGGATGCTCCACTCCCTGAGGTTTTTGGGAGCACCCTGTGGATTCTTCTGGCATCAAAAAAAGAAGTGTCTGTCTTCAGGAGGACAGAAATAAGGCACGTCCTTAGAGCAGGTCAGTGTGGGCTGTAAGCAGCAGCTTGCACTTACAGCCAGAAAGTAGCAAAAAGTGACTCTTGAATGATGATGTGTAGAAACAAATTTGGAAGAGGCAGCCAGTTCTTACACTCCTCAAGGTTCCCCTGATTATCCCCCCAAACAACACAAATTCCAACAAGAATGAGTAAGTGGAAACTTTGCATGTTAGAAAAATCAAAGCAAAAGCTCCCCTTTTTTTAGACTGAGGTAAGCAAACAAGCAAGTTGGACTAAGAGCAAGTCATAGCAGCATTTAGACCAGAGCAGTGACCCCGTGCTTTCCCTTCTCTCTTCCCAGAGAGCTGCCCAAGGGAGTTTTGTGCCTGGCACTGTTCCCAGCCCAGTGCTGTGACTGCAGCGCTGCACGAGGGCACCGACGTGAGGAGGCCTCACCGTGTGTTTAACCTGGAGCTATTTTATTAGAGTAGCACAATGGGGTTTTTTTCTGGTCATAATGGAAAAAAAAAGTCATTTATTCATGGAAGAAACACAGACAATTCTGCCTGTTGTTTTAAAGAGTAATGTAGTAATTACATATTCCTTTAAACAGTGCTGTTAGATGATGTTTTTTCACAGGGTCACGAGCTCTGACATTACTAAACCATGAATCACAGGAGCAAACTCATACATGCAAAGTGCAGTAAGCACACAGAGGCTTAAATTTTGCTTCTTATTAGAGTGTCAACTCATAGAGATAATGAAGTAAATTAGAGCCACTTATAATACTGGCTTATTCCCAGTTTAACTGGGATCAAAAACTGAATGAACGATGTTATACCTAAGTTGAGCCATAGTTGCAGAGAGCAGAACTTCACAGGTAAACAACAGATCCATGATAGCATTTTAGAATCAGAAATTCCCAACAGTTTTCTGTCCTTTCAAATATTAAAAATAACTTCTTTCTTCTTGGCATCCTATGAATACTCTCATGGTAATTTTCTTCCTGCTTTAGGTTAAAAATAACAGGAAGAAGAAGTTGTAAATATTGCACAGTATGTTAAGATGGAAGACTAGAAAAAAAATGGCACTTGCAGGGTGACTTTTCAGTCCAAAGAAAAGCTCTTCATTTTTTCTGCTAATTCCTGTCTCATTTCTATGTGTTTTTTCAGGTTTTGCACTTCATGGGGCAGGTTGATGTCCCACACTGACACGCAGGATTGTAACTCTGGGGAAAAAAAATGAGAATTTGAAAACTGCAACAGAGATGAGTTACTGCATGATTAGAAATTATTTTGCTTATCTGCTTGTTCTCAATTACTCATAAATTTACCCAATGAAGCATGATCATTAAGACCCAGAAGACAAATTCCATGACACTTTGTGTGTGAGGTGATGCAGTTATGTGTTACAAGCTGTTTGTATTTGCACAATGATTTGCATTCTAGTTCCTAAATTTAGACTATACCATTTAAAAGTACTTGAAAAAAACCCATTTCTGGTGCCCATGGGCATTAAGGAACTGATCTGAGCTACAGTTAATGCCAATACTGAGGTGCTGCTAAAATTTCATCTCTCTTTCCAAGCAGATATACCCCAATGCCTATGAGACTCAAACCACATTCACTGTAAAATAAAAATTGATTTCATTTAAGTAGTGAATATATTGAGAAAAGGTCACTTCCTCAGTCTCCATTCATGCAAACAACTCTTTGTTCATGAAGAATTCACACTGGTTTTAGTGGAATAGGGACAACTGAGAACACTTACATGAACTGAGGCTTACAAACTAAGGCCCCAAGCATTCTGGAGTCCCTGATTCTTCTCTGTAATTAATGTCATTCTTAAATAAAATAAAAATGCTAACAAGCCGATAAATGTTCTTATGGTTCAGAAATTGGGGAATACCACAATGTAAACACAATGCTCCAAAGTTTGACTCATTTCAGTCAGCTCACCCACACTTGCCTCCTTAACTTTATACTGTCATTGCCACATTTCTAGGGGTCACTGAAACTGGGATGAGATAAAGATGAAGAAGGGCATTGATTAGAGCATCAACTTTAACTGTTCTTAGAAAAATCTAAAGAGGCAGCTCTTCTATCTTCCAGCACTTTGCTGTCCTAATTGTCAGGAAACTTTTACCGATGTCTGACCGAAATCTCCCTTGTTGTAACAGAAACCTGTTAGTGCTTATCCTACTCACAGGGAATATGGAGAAGTCTTTATTCTCTTGCTCTTCATTTACATATTTGAAGGCTATTATCATGTCCTCTCTAAGCTTTATTTATATTAACCAATTTAATTCCCTTCAACACTTCCTCACAGGTTGCATTTGTCTCCTCTGGATTATTCCTAATAGTCCAGATCATTCAGCAATAAATGGTTAGGCTCCTCCAGCAGAGGCCATATTAGCACCCAGCAGAGTGTAAGAATTAGCTCATGCCTTATAGACACCACTTTCATGGTGTGAGAATGGTGTTTGCCTCATCTGCACCCACGTGACAGGGCTGATTCATGACCAGCCTCTGATCAATTCTGACCCATTTTCTGCAGCACTGCTGTTTAAGCTGATCATTTCCTCATGCTGGTGCAGCAGATTATTCCTAATTAAATAAAAGGTCTTGCATTTGTCCCTACAGAATTGTATCCTATTTCCTTCCAGACCATTAGTTCTATTTGTCAGGGTCACTTTGAGTTCTAATCCTGCCCTCTGGGGAGCTTGTCTTAGCTGTGAGTTGTCTGCAAAACTAAAAAGTACATTCACTATTCTTTCATTCACATCATCCATGAAAACACTGGGGATTCCTGACCTAGCACAGACACCTCTGGAAATCCATTTGATACATTCTCCAATTAGACAATGACATTTACTCTCCAAATACAGCTTTGAAACAAATTGTATGAAATCCTTCAAGCAGTGGCTTCCTCAGATCCGTTTATGGAAGTTACTTTCAGTTTGTATGACCCCAGATATGCAAAATAAAACAAAAACTACTTAATAGTAGTGTCTCAATAAAATTTTGTCAAATGATGATCAACTCTTCACTCTCAGTGAGTAGTCAAGCACAATAGTGTCTCCTCCACTAATAATACAAGTTAGTAAAACACAATGCAGATACCTTTGTGATATTTGTTGTCTTCGGTGTCACTTTTATAGCAATATCCCAAAACAAGGACAACATTCTTGAGACTCCCTTTTACAAAGAAATAAAATGTCAAATCTTAATTTCAATGTGAACTTTGTAATTCAATACAGAAAGAGTAAATGACATCAAGGCATAAGAGCATAAGAGGACAGAAAGCAGAGTTCAGTCAATCAGACCCTTTATTCAAAACCATTAACCATGAAAAACCCAGACACAAAGACGATATAGTTCCCATCTCCATTTAATGTCAGGGTTTATCAGGGTTCCAAGGCATAAGCACAGGATCAGCCGACCAGCCTGCTGAACAAGCCCAAGAACAAAGCACCCTATTATACAGCACAGGCAGAGGTGGCAGAGTCACAGGAAACATGTCACAGCAAAAGGACAGGCTGCAAGTGAAGTCCCAGTGCACAGCAAACGTACCAGCTCAGTTATGAAAAAAAACAAACCAACCAAATATGACAAAAAACTGAGTAAAAACTATGAACTAAAACTTATGATGGCATATGGGTGGGAAGTGGAAATAGGGGATAGATCATAAGAAGCTGCCTAATGAATAACACAAAAAAAAAGACCTGGAAGACAGGAGTGGTTGGATGACAAAAGGATAAAGAGAATGTGCCAGTGTTTCAATATCAACTTCCTGCTTACTTTCAACAAGTCATGTCTATAAATGTCTTGCAAAGATAGACAGAAGCTGTCACATGTTCTCCTGCCACAGCAGCTCCCTGTTCCTACTGGCAGCACATGAGGGTGGAAAGCCCTTGGCTTTCAGCTGGTAGGGGAATCCAGGGCCCAGCCTGGGTCCCTGGAGAGGAGCAGGCCAGGGAAGGAGCAGCCCCCCTGTGCAGACACCCCACTGCAGCTTCCAGCATGGAGCCTGATGCTCCCAGGGCAGACATGAGCAGGGGAGCAGTTCCTGGGGCATGAAAAGTCTGGAATATGGCTTAACTTTTTGTGTGAAAGCTGCAGTTGGGAAGTTTTCTAACATGCCTGGGACCTCTGCAAGGTAGAGAGAGGTGCTTCCTGCCCCAAGGAGTTCAGCACTATATTCTCCTCTGAAAGTGATGTAAATCTGCTTATAGTAGATGAGGGATGGTGGGAACCATACTCATGCTCCATGATCATATTTTTCATAAATTTAATTTTTTTCTATAGCCAGTCCTATCCATACTCCTTACAAAAGTGATTGGAACTAAAAGATAATGTTTCTTATTTAGACCTTGGTCCTGTCTTACCATATAGAAATCTAAATTTGCACTTGCAAAATAAACAAGAGATTTATATCTAAATTATTCTCTATGGTAAGTCTCATGCCTATTGAACATCAATGTGTTAGGTAACAGAGTTGGAAAACAACATTGTATTTCCATATTCATATATGAAGTTCAGATAAAATTAATGTCTCAAAGTCTGGAAATCTCTTTTTCCTTTTTTACCTCTCCATGACATTATATATTTTAAATATATAATGAAACTATTTCACACAAATTTTATAAAAAATATTTCTCTCTATCTTCTCTTATTTCATATAAGCAATGTGGTACTGTTGAAACACTGCTCAGCAGCCTCAGTGCCATTTTCAGGGATTCCAGTAGAAACCAAGTCCTTGAATTTAGGAAAAAAACCCTAGCCCTTATAAATAATTGCTGCAAAAAGATGATCAAAAGAAAAAAATGCACATCAAACTGCATATATCAATCTTATTTTCTGTTCTTGAGATTTGTGCAAATGAAGCTAAACTCTTCAATATTAATTTTTCTATAAATAAAATTCTGATTAAAAATGTTGATGTGACTGAGCCTCAAGGCTTTTAAATCACACTATTCTATATATTTTCCCAATCAATGACAGCAGCAAGGCAAAAATGACTATGTTTTCATAGCTACTATTCTTTACAAAGTGCTGAAAATGAAATGTCCCTTTAAGATACTAACACTGTAGCCATCAGGCCTAGATGGAATGAGAATGCTGTGCTGTAGCTGGCACCATGAACAGCTGGGCTCTGACCAGACTGTAACACTTGCTGTTTCAGGCAAAGGAAAGCAGAGGAAGGTGAGGTATGTTTGACTCATACCGTGTTGCCAGCACTATGACCTGACTGCAGTCTATGGATTCTTCTGGTGCCAGAAAGGAAGAAACAGCTTGCAGAATAAGTTCCTCCTGGTACAGAGAAAACATCCACAGCCTACAACTGTGATATTTACTAGCAGAATTACAGTATGCTGCTGAATTCACAACAGCTTCAGTGTTTGCTTGTTTTTTTTTGGACAGCAAACACACTTTAAATAACACTGACAGGGAAACTCCAGAGTTTTTTCCAAAACACAGTGGAAAGGGATGGGAATCCACATATTGTGCCACAAAGTACTTTTTGAACTATGTGTATTTTGACTGTATTCACCACAGCAGTACCACAAACTTGAGTTTATATGGCTTTTATTACTTTTGAGAAAGGTGCAGGACAGTGTACAGGTGAAGGAAGCTTCAACAGCCAAGGAGTGTCCCTTCCTCAGCTGCATTCCTGTGGCTGTTGGTGGTCACCACTGAAACCTCACAACTCCTGTCTGCCTAGAGCAGCTCAAAACAACTGTCCCTGATGACAGCAGCAGCACATCTGTACAAGTCCACACCCCAAGTCCAGGTGTGTAGCACTTTACCAGCTCTGCTGTGATCTGCCTGTGACCCAAATCTAAAAGAACCATTCCTGAATGAGGACAGGAGAAGAAAACTAGCCAATAAGCAATGAAAGAAAAATTATTAAAATCCAGTATAGTCCACAGAGAGAAAAGCCATAAGTGTAACACTTGAGATGGAGAAAGAACAAAGGCAGACACATGTAAGAGAAGACAGAGTGACCTGTGACAGGATGGTGAGAGCTGTGCTGAAGCACAGCACAGGGATGCAGGTAAGGTGGGGAGCTCATGTGCAGACCAGTGACCAGCCAGGGAAGAGCTGCTGATTTATGTGGGCACAGGTATTCAGCCTGCTCAGTTTGCACCCTAGAGTCTGACACTGATGGAAGAGGACAGCCGTGGAGTAGCATGAATGAACAAATCCTGGATAATGCTAATCTGTTCCTGGAACACCACAACAAGCAGCACAGAGCAAACCTCAAAGTACTCATCACTTGAAGGTTTTACTTACCCAGCTGAGCTGTTACCATGACTCGAACAGAGTCACAGAACTTGTCTATAACTCGTACAGGACGACGCGTTGACAAATCAAGCAGCAAGATGTGTCCTCCTCCTGTCCCTATCCACAGTGCAGTATTCTTCTGCAGACAAATGGTCTTCACTCTTCCTGAATAAGCCAGTTTGTGTTTTGATTCCTTATTTAATTTTTCCACTTTGTTCCTATAAGTATGGAAAGAATTTGCATTGGAATTTGGTGGCACCTATTCTGCAGCTACTAAAATGACACTCTGAATACGAGATTTTAAGCAATCATTCACCAAGCCAAACACAAAATTCTCATGCAAACACACTGGGAAGAAAACTACTGGACTCCAAAGAGCCATCTGGTCTGCTTCAGAAGACCTTTAAATAGAAGGCAGGAACACTTCTCAGTTCTCCCCCAGCCTGCAGGAGGTTAATGGCACAGCAAAGCACACTTACACCTGCTCCTAACCTCACCATAAAAATAAATGGATGTGGCACGTTAAGGCAGAGCAACAATTTAAATGCAAATGAAAAAGTTGTCACAATTAATAAAAATCTAATTTCCTACTGAATTTGTGCACTGTAAAAAACATTCTTGTTCAGGGGATGCAGGAAGTAGCTGGATTAGCCTTAGTACCTAAAGGACAGCAAAAGACTTTCTTCTTTCTTGAGCTAAATGAGCCTTCTTGACAACATAGAGAAATTGGGAAATACAGTAAGGGTCTTTAAAAAGTGGGATTCTGCATGGAATACTCTGATGTTCTGGGCCAAAAGACAGGATAGGAAATCCAACAAACTGGATAAATGCCTGACTTCTGGCAGGTTAGGGTACCATGCTAGAGAAGGCAATCTGATATTCCCCTTCTTATCCACCAGACCAAAAATCTGAAACAAACCACTTACTTCAGAAAATGTGCACAGTCAATTAATTCAGAAAGTTTTTCTGTTTTCTTGTCCCAGATTTCCACAAAATGGCTGTTTTTCTTTGCCAAGTAGATGGATTTGTCTATTGCTATTGAAATAATGTTTGCATCACTGTAAGCATTATGACAGAACCTAGAAGAGAGAAGAACTCCAGTCAGATACACAGAACATACCTAGCAGAAAACTTCACTACTTTGAGTAGAATTAGCTTCCCTCTGACTGCTGTAGAATCATTCAGCCCTAAAATCAAATTAGGCTAAGATACAACTGAAAGGCTTTGCTTTAATCTTCCTACAGTTCAACATAAATTCTCATAGTAACAGAGTTAGGCTGCTGACATCCTTGGAGGCACATTAATGCTCAAAGTCTATTAATAAATCTTTCTCATCAAACACTGTTTTCCCTGCTCAGGAAAAATTCCCCATAACTTCAGAGTAGGATTTGTCCATGTGAGAATTACATCAAACACTCCCAAACCCTCAGTCAATAATTTCTAAATAGTGAGAATTCAGCAATCAGACATGATTAAATATATATAGGGCAAGGATATGCACACATATACTGACAAACATGGAAGGACAAATACTATGATGAATATGTATGTGTAACTCTAAATAAAGTAAACAGGGCCTGGACTAGGCCAGCTGGAGATGAAAACTCATCAGTTGCATAGATATTGACTTCATCAATCCTCTGTGGAGTAAAAATGTATTTCCTTGCTTAAAAGCAGCAACAAATACTTTCAACATTACTCACTGATACTCCATCTGCATTATGGAAAGAAAAGAAGAGAAACAAGCAAACTCAAAGAATGAGCTCTAGAACAAGACATTACATCAAAGTACTGTCAGAAACCTTTGATGAAAACAAATGAGCCAAATAACATCACTTATAAAAATCAAGAACTTACAGTTGACTTGTCTTTGTTTCAATGAGCTTTTGAACAGAGAAGTCACTGGTTAAGGCAATGATTTTTGTTCCACAGCCTCCCCAGATGACATTTTTTTCAGAGAAGCATGAGGATTCATTTAAGCACATCAGGGGTGTGCTAACATTTCCTATTGTCAGTATCTTCAAAGGTGTAGCACCCTTACACTGCAAAAAAATATATTTTTTTAGAAACAAGGAGGATGCAGACACTCAGAATGCTGTTAAAACAAGGCCACACAGCCTGCTGAATTAAATTTACTCATCCAGATTTTCTGATGACCCAGAACATTTCCAGAACATTACTGACTGAAAAGCACCATATTCCCATTATGGATGTGCCATAGGAGACAGCCTGAGAGCAGAAACAGGCCAGGGCAGGGACTGACACTGTCTGCAACCCCTGGCACAATTCAAGGACTGGCTGGAAAGATACATCTGTGTCTCTGAAGACATCTTACACTGGATTATATTCTAATTCTGAAATGCACTGCAACTCCATAACTGCTCTAAATGCTTGGTCAGGAACTAAACCTTCAGGTGCCAGATGATATAAACAGCTCCCAGCATTTCTTCATCTGTTCTGTGAGGAGAACTCTGATCTACAGAAAATCTAAGCAATATTTTATTTTTGAACATAGCTGTTATATAAAAATTTACTAAATGAGAGGAAAAAGGAGCTATTACAGCAATAAATAAAGGAGGTCAAAACTGTTAGAATATTCTTAACAACAACCAATAATGTCAGTCTCTAGATAGTTTGCCAGGCCTTTCAAAGGAATTTTCCACCTCTTAACTCTTTTGTTTATAGCAGTTATTGTAAAGAGTGAAATTCATCTCAGACTGCAATAGAAAATTAATTTTAGTTTTAGAGAAGCAATTAATTTTAGTTTTAGAGAAGCAGTTAAAAATAAGTGGCATGAAATAAAGCTCTTGGTAGCTGCTTTAGACATTAATGATAACACTCTGTAGAACAGACAGCAGAGTCGTCTACCTTTACTGCTCTGTCTTCAAAAACTGCCAGTTTGCCATCAGCTGTGCCTACCAAGAAGAAATTCTTCTGTTTGCTGAAATAAAATAAAATAATTAATTCTAGAAGTGCCTTAATCAGGTAAGAAAAATTAAAATGAGGAGTCTCTAGTATTTCAAGTATTCAATTAAACACTAAAAGCAAACACAACCCCTGTGATCATGAATGTAGTCCCGAGCTGCACTGGGTGCAAAAGAAAGTGGAAACACAGGCAAAATAAGCAGTTGTCAGAACAAAAGTGCAGTGTGCACAGATGTCATTTTCTGAACACCTCGGTTTAGCAGTGTTCTCAAAATGTAACCCAAAACATTTAAAATTCATTTATACCTTTGCTTTGAAAGAGAATTACAGTACAAACAAGTGACAGAATCTGACATTTTCTGCAGACGATGCCTTCTTGTTTCATCTTCTGTGTTAACTGCCCACAGAGAACCAGACTGGGTTCCTGCTACAATCCAGTTTTCTTTCTCAGTAGGAAGAGTCACTAAGGCCAAACTTATAATTTTACTGTCTGCAATATCCTGAGTCAGAAAAGAAGGAGAAAAACAACTTGGTCATTATTTCAGTAATGGTAAATGCTAGAAATTACTGATGATAAAAATATAGCACAGTCTTCTTGGACTCTGGACAGACCCATGGCCTAATTTCCCCTTTAAGAAATCTAATTCCCTATTAGCAGAATACATCATCAACTGGGCCACCTGTCTTCCAAGTGCTGGGAAGGACCCCTCAAACCGTACACAGGAAAATCTCTCAGCTGAATGCTGACAAAAAAAGTTACTCTTTTATTTATTTAGAATTGAAAAAATGGAACTCTTGCAGTACTAATTGCTAACAATGAAAATAGTGGCCTAATACTTCTTTTTCTCATTTTATTTTTAGAAAAAACAACCCATATAGTTTATACCAAAGCTGGCAATTCAGATGTATCATGGTCAACAGATGGCAGATGGAAATAGAACTGAAACAACTTTGATGATGAATCATGCTCAGTTCTGGCACACATGTTCATCACAGCACATCAGTCCTTGGTAAAATCTTTCCTCTTTGCTGATGGGATAGGATTGAGATGTACAAAATCAAATGAAAAGAACTGGAGGGCATCACCAAAGTGGCACAAGGACATGGCATTTGTGGGAAGTGAGAAGTTGTTAAGAGACAACCTGGATGGTAAAAAGGAGGTAGAGATATGAAGGTCTGCCTAACTATTAACTCCTTTCTGTAGTCTCCATGCTAGAAATAGTTTCCATCTCAGTAGAAGAAAGTAATCCAGCAGTAGAAAGACAGTATTATGAGAAAGTTCAGGCTGGATAACAGAAAAAGAGTAAAAAGCAACTGCTCTTCTACCTCATTTCATGGATACAAAGATGACACACTTATGAGCAATCTTTGTCCTCTCAAAGCTTAGCTTTCCAGAAGTAATATCCTGCTGTAAAAAAGCAATTAATTTTTCTGAAATATATCTGTCTGCCAGAAAAAACAGAATAAATGTCAACTTTCCCACATACCTCACAAGTATGTCCATCTGTGTTTAGGTTAACAAATGAAAGCTGTGCCTTTTCTGTGTTCCCATTTCCTATCCAGACTCCTGCCTTCTTGCAGCTTTGATTGGCAGCCACCATGCACTCTGCTGTAGATGTGCTAGGTATGGAGACATATCTCATCAAACAGATCAGTTCTGCAGAATTCAGGATCTCATAAACCTATGAAGAAAGGCACAGCACACCCATGGTGACAACAATGGCTTGTACAGCAATAAATAACAAGCAACAGATAACAGCATTTTTTAGATATGTATCTCAGCAGGCCTGGTCATTTGTACTGGTGCAGAACACTGTGTAACTGCACTGATATTACTTAACAAAGGCTTTTTGCATAGCTCTAGTAAAGTAATCAGAATTGTAAAAAAAATCAGAAGTAATCTGAATTGTGTTTCACTCCAATTGCTACACAGCAACACAGGAAAATAGCAAGCTAGAACATGTGGTAAGTAGATTTCAATGGAACAGTTTATTCTGGAAGGTAAGAGCAGGCGATATTTCATGGCAGTTTCCATTCCAGAAAAGAACAACACAAAGAAACCTGTGCTTCTCATTAACTGAATGTCTGATTCCTTTTCAGAAACCACAACTTTATACTTGCCATCTATCATAAAAAAGCAAATAAACTAAGTAATACCTGGCAAGATGTTGGTCGTTCCTGAGGGTTTTCCTTCAAACACTTTTTAATTAAGTTTTCAACTTCAGGCCACGGGGAACACCCATATTCTTTGACAGGATCTAGAATGGAAAATTACATAACTTATTAACCAGCATTTACCACAGTTCTAACTAATCTTCTTATTTTTAGAATTTATCTAACTTCTTACTGAGCTGCTCTAAGAAATATCACATTCTTAGGTAAAATGTCAGCATGAACAGCTTGGAATTGCTCATCTACCATTATAGGCTAGAGCATAAAATGCTAGAACTAGACTCCTTTTAATTAATAGCAGTTAAAGGAAATGGATTTTGCTTTATCTTTTTCTTTGATGTCCCTGTGGCTGGGACTGAATCCCAGATATACATGGGCTTCCATTAATGCTGACCATTCAAGGCTATGGGACTTCAGTCAACAGTCTTTCCAATTCCTGCAAACACTGTTTTCCACATTTATTCTTCTGAGTATATGGAATACAGATGGACTTCCAATACAAGATACAGCAAATAGATAAACAACTCCATAAAGCATTTACAAGATATGGAAATTTAAATTCCCACTTAGTGCTTGGAATATGTCTCTTATGACTATAGCTGCTGAGCTCTCTGAGAATAAATCACTCATGATGGTGCCTGTATTGCTTTTCCTTTTAGTTTATCATAATCCACAGCAAATATTCCAGTCCTACCTCAGACAGAGGTAACATTAGTGATGAATACCTGCAAATGAACATAATCAGTGCAGCAAAAGACAGGCACTGTTTGCTTGTGAGACCAGCCAGCCCCTCTTTTGGTGGAAATACAGAAATGATGAGCATAGGTGGAAGGAACTGTACTATCTCCAGAAACTAATACTTCAATTATTCCACAGGGCTTATAGTACAGTCAATACAGCTGCATTTAAGGGATACTTATTCATCAGTTCCTGGGATATCCTCTTCAGGAAGGGGGCAGAAACTGTCTGAGATTACAACTGGACTGTTTTCCTTAAGGAGCAGAAAATGCATGAACACTCTGCCTCTCATAATGGAGAAGCTATGCCAGACTGAGTGATGCAGTTCTTTCCTAAATGGAGCAAAACATTCCTTAAAGAATGTTTCATGAGTACACCCACTATTGTTGGGCAGTAAATAAGAACACCAGACATTCAGCTTGTAGTGCTATAAAAATTAAACAGCTCTCAACACTGGTAGAAGTTGCCCAAGTTATGTTGCCCAGATGACTACATCATGTCCAGCCTGATAGCCTGTTTAATCTTCCTTCCAGCAGCCAATAATTCCATATTGTAATGCAGAAGGAATATGAAGAATGTATTTTTCTAAGTCTCCTTCTATGATCTCTTAGATACAACATAACTCATAATATATGCTATTTCTGGAGGAGGCAGGACAAAAGCTAAAACTTTTAGAAACAAGGCATACCTGGTAATTTTCCTTGTATTGCTAATTCATCAAATTCATTTGGAAACTTCAAGCCTTCCATTATTCTACCTCCTCCTGTTAAAATGTCATAAAGCAGCAAGCCAAATGAATAAACATCAGCTTGCTGATTGTAAATAACATTTCCTCTGGCAACCTCTGGCGCTCGAAATCCTGCAAATAAATCATTCATTAATAAGTATGCTTCATGTCAAGATGAAGCTATCTTTGTACTTTAAAAAGTAAACAATTATTGATAAAAATGGCACAGGAAGTGCAAGGAAAAACAAACTATTTCTGGGCTGGCAACGGCTTGTATTTGGCAGATGTCCGAAAATATCAGCAGTAAGTATAAAAGAAGGGGACAGTACATCGGTTACAGAGCTCCTGCCCCTTTTAATGTAAAATAATTACTTTATCAATGAATGCTGAACATCAAGGGCAAGTCTGCAGTCTCTTTTGATGGACTAACATTTAACACTTGAAGTGACGCTCCCAGGCACAATTTAAAAGACCTGAAGGAACTTTTCAAAGTGATTGAGTTGTTCAGGGCTTTAGAATGGATGCTAATAGGTTCTCTCTAAAGTTGGGGAAGAGTGAAGATATTTATTGTCTTAAAAAAAATTAAGACTTATGTACACTTTACTGGAAATTAAAGCAAAAAATTTTAGCATAGTTATAATTTAGTATAATTTCAATATCACAATAACCATATTAAAATCAGACAACAAAAAAATATTAATGCATGTGATTTAATTTCTTCTTTTTAAACCTTTAATATACTCCTTGATTCTTCTAAAAGGTGTTAAAACATGAACAGGAGGAATGGCCAAGAGGTATAAATCTGGCATCACAACTTGTAATATGATTAGGACTACTTCTTGTGACTTTTGACTAGAATATAGATTTGAGTTACTTCTTACAGACTACATGAAAAATATATTAGCTATTTTTGGACATAATGGACTTTAAATCAAATCCTATTTCCATACCTGGTGTGCCTTCCGAGGTTTTTATTCCCATTCGGCAACAATACTGGGCAATGCCATAGTCAGCTATTTTTGCAATAACAGCTGAATTGGGATATAAGGTAAAGAGCAACACATTGTGAGGCTTTAAATCACGGTAGATGATCATTGCTGAATGCAGGTACCTAGTAATCAAAAAACATTTACTGAAAGCATTCACAAGTTAGGGATGTATCTGTACACACACACAGAGTGCATTATTCTTGTAACAGTAAATTGTGCTTTCAAACATGAAATACTGTGTTAAAAATGTCAAACATCACCAACAAGACACAGCCTTTCTGGATAATGACTTTATAATTGTTCTAAAATACAATTTACTATTTACTACTTTACTATTTACATTGCAGTATTTTAGTACCGAGTTTTATCTGAAGAGTCACTGATAGCTTGAAAAATGCATCTTAAAACCTTAAGCTAAACCCTCTTGCAGGTTTTGTCCTTTTAAAGTCACGCTGCAATGAGGTAAAGTGATTAATGGATTTTCAGAACTTGAAATATGCACTAAATTAATTTCTTTGACATTTCAGTAAGAAATCAACAGCCACATGGAGTCTTGCAATTTCTCTACTTATATGAACATCACTTGTTAGCAGGAACAAAACAGGTAATGAAAGTACACATTACATATCAGCCGATCAACCATAAAAATACAAGAATTTGTCAGAGCCAGGAAATATTCTGCTTGAGATGTGAGAGAACAGAAGCTTTTCATTTGCAGTATATCATCTTTGAAGCTATATCCTGTTTTTACAGCAATGCAGAAGTCCCATTTACCTTAAGCCATCTGCTACATGTAGAGCTATCCTGTGCTGCAGTGTTCTAGTCAAACTTGCATTTTCCTGTTGAAGCAAACGATCAAGAGATCCTTTGAGGGCCAATTCCATCACCAGCATCCGGGGACGGATTGCAGCAGCCAGCAAAGACACCAGACTGGGGTGGTGGAGGTGACAAAGCACTGCAAGCTCCTGCAAATTGTAAAATCATATTAAATACTGCAAAAAGCATAATCTCTACATCTGAAATAAACTGAGGAATGTTTTAGAGCATGGACTTGCAATTTACTTAAAACTCTTTGCTAGGGCTGGTATTCCAAGAGCAGCACTACAGAAAAAAGGCAGGATTCCTTACTTGTCTTAGGAGCCTGAGGGAAGTATGTTTATTGAAAATCTTTACAGCAACCTCTTCACCACCATAGGATGCACGGTACACAGATCCAAAGCCACCATCACCTTTTGAACAATAACATGGAAGAGTACTATTAGGAAAGGGATAACAACCATTTCTCAAAAATAATAGCTGAAAGGGTTGAGTTTTAAAATATGATCCACATATTTTACTGTGTTAAGATTCATGATCAGTAAACTAAACACATAAAACCCAGTGTCCTAGTGCACAAATTAATGGAAAATTCAATACTCAATAACCTGAAATTCAGAAAACTTTAAAATAATACATTTCTTCAGAAAATAAATCTCTAAAATGCTTTTCATACGTTGCAGAACTGACTTCAATAGATTTGCTTACATAATCTCTATAAAAAACCCACACCCTACAAAATAATGCTTACCCAAGAGAAATTCAGGAGCTTCATCAAATTCCAGGTCATCATTGTTCAACATAATATTTCTAGGCAAATCAGCCAGTATCAGATCAGGAGCAATCTGAGCAATTGGAATGGTCTGTCTTGGTTGATCTGGATTCACCAAAAGGTCACCTAAGAAAAACAAAAGAGAAAATGAAAAAGAAAAAGAAAAAAGATATCAGTGAAAATGCACTGAAAGGCATGAAGACCTCTGAGAATGCATAAGACCAATGAACCTAAAATAAGATTAATATATTTGCTTATATATATATATACATATATGTATGTGTATATATACATATATGTGTGTGCATATACATACACATGCATGCACACAGACATACATACTAATTAAGTTTACCATGCAAAATCTTGGCTCTTACATGCTTAAGTATTTTCATGGTTCTATATATGTACCTATCAAATGTGAAAAAAATGGCTACAACCTAACACTAAGCAAGACTAATAATTTTCTGTCTGTAAAAAGAAAGAATGCTGTCAGTATGCAGAATGCCATACTGAATATTGTCTTTTAAATTACTGTGCTATGTGATCCAACCAAGAGATAAAATATTAGTTTTACTACCTGCTGGATTCAGTTCCAAGATTGAAGCTGAGTTATCAGTATTATGACAAAATGATTCTTTCCATTATTGCTATTTTTATATAACTACACAGAGTAGATTCAATCTGTCTCATATTATATTCTTATATATACTAGACAGCTCTGACATAAAAAAACCCCAAGCTGCTTTTGACTTACGCTGCAATTTTTTCTTACAGAAATGAAACACTTTAAAATAACATGAAATACCCAAATGTTATAAAGGGGATGTTGCACAGTATTTGTGTAGATACAAGTGTACCTTTATATACATCTCAAATGGCATAAATATATACCTTCTTCAGCCTTCCTAAGCAAGTCATCAAGTAGTATTTTTTGGTGTTCTTCACCATCTTGAAAGCTGTACAAAGCCCATTTCTTCAACAGTGTTTCCCCTTCACCACAAACATCAATTTCCAACAAACCTGGAAACCATTCTTCCATAAGAGAATCTATGTGATCCACAACTTGCCCCAAAAGGATGCACCCTTTAAGAAACAAAAAGAGGGGAATTACAGACTCAGTCTGCCATACTTCTAATTGCAAAGAACAACTCTATATTCCAAAGGCAGAAGCACAACAAACCAAAATGCCAAGCTGCAATCAAACTGGAGCAAAATTCAGGCTTAGGAATAATTAACCTTTTCTGCAAGAAGGTGCTGTGATTTTCAAAAAACTGTCTGGGTTGTTGTCAAATACTGCTGACTCCACTAGACAATAAGCCTCAGGAGACCAGTTCAAGTAGATGCCTTGTCTCCAGTACATTCTGTTAGGACGAAGAGCTCGCTCTAGAAAACACAAAATTAGATTAAAAGTCTGATCTCTAATATTAATGTCAATTTAAAAATATTTAGAATAATTCATAGTACTTTGAATATATAACTATGATTGTAGGGTTATACTTACCCAAATAACAAACAAAATAAAGGCTACAACCTTGCAGGCAGCACAAAAACTAAATATATGTCAACTTGTGTTCGGTTCTAGAAGGCATTACAGAAATGCTTAGGTACGTTCAGGTTCAAGCACAGAGTATCTCAGGCAAAATATGAAAAAAAGCTGTGATTTAAAGTTTTCCTGTCACACACTCATAAAATAGCAGGATGCAACTGGAATTTGATGCTCAGAAAACTCAAAATGCCAGGAAATCAGGCATTTACAAGTGATATTTGTAGAGTATTACCATATGAAAGCATGGAATTCTTGGGAAAAAAGTGAAGACATATCCCCTCTTTCTGATAAAAGCGAAGTTTTGAGACTTAAATAAAGAGAGAATTAATGAACCTGAAGAAAAACAGTTTGTTTTTCTGTGTGGAAGACATATCCCTTCCTGTATCCTTTGTGGAATCAAATAGCAGCAAACATAAGGATTTCCCCTGTCTCTAGCATGTGAAGGGGAGAAATGGACCCTTTACAACCTTTATTTTCTTTAACACACAACTGCAAGATCAGGCACTATCTGTTCCTGTATACTTCTAAATTACAAAAATGACCACTGTCTTTTTCTTACAGCTGTGAAGTGTTCAGAATTTAGCTAAAGCAAAACAGTGTTGGGGACTAAAGCTTTAACAGGCAGGTGTTGGCATTCAAGGCAAACTTGCACACTATTCCTTTTGAAGATAAAGATTTGTACCTCTTCCTGAGAGCATGTAAGGAGATATCTCAAGCAACCTGTTGATGAGCCTGGACCAAAATCCCATGGGAAAGTATGGCATCTCATAAAGCCTGATGATAATTTCAGAATTTTCACAGTGAGGAAGCTCTATAACAGGTCTGTGATCAGACAAGCTGAAAGAAGAAAAATATTAAGAAAGTATTGGATGATGTTATATATCTGAGCTTGTGACATATATTATGTGTAATGTAAAATGCATGATTTATTAATGAGTGCATGATTCAGATGGTCAGGGAGCTACCAGAAAGTGTGTTTGTTTATTATGCTTGCTTGTGTCAAAGTGAAGTTCTGACTGTAATATAAACCCAACAGTGGCTCGCTAATGGATCATTAGATATTTAATGGAAATATGAGAAAAAGCTGAGACATACAAAAGGCAGGTAAGATATTCAGATAAAATCTTCCTATCCCAGGGCTTTGAAGGACATAAAAATCCTAATCAGTGCAGCCATGCATGCAACACTCTCTCCACTAGGCAACATAAACATTACCAAACACATTAGGGAAATCTGTAACTGAGGCACAGAAACTGAGTTATTTGCTTCAGATAAAACAAAAATACCACATTCAAAATCATGACACTTTTTTGTCACCACATTTAGTATGTAAAATTTTTGAAGCAGGTAGTGCCTCTGAGTAACTTGTGAGTGGTTCTCACTTCATGCAAATAAGTTATGGAAATGTTTTGTTATCTTTTAAACTTCAATAAATATCTGTAATGCTGGCACAGTGCTCTGAAGCTAAATCATAACCTCCTTGCTGTAGTCTTGAAGCATGGTAACTGTAAAAGAAGTGCTATCCTCATAAAATATTCTATCCTTTATAGTTTCCATTTACCTACCATGTTGATACATAAGCTTTATCTGCAACTAGATCAGTTTAACATATCTCTTCTGAAAGCATTTACTAAAATGTAATATACAAAGAGTCTGTCATGCTTTCATGCACCAAATGCTCTGATGATCAGTGAAACTAGTTAGCCTGATGGGAAGTTTCAATTTTGATCTATTTCTACGGCTGTCATTTTTGGGTTTAGCTCCTTGCTTACCTGCTTGGGATTAGTAGTTGGTCCTCTCCTAATGGCAAAGCAATCTGGAACTTTTCCAGAAGCTTAAAGTATTGTGACATATAGATTTTAGGGAACTTGCTCTTCTTCAAAAGGAATTTTTCCACATCTGAACGCTTCACAATTCCCTTAGGGTATTTAGAACAGCCTTCCACTTTCACCATGAGAATCTTTTAAAAAAAGTGAAACAATTTCAGGTGTACATTCATAATTAGATGAAAGTTTCAGAGGTCAGAAAATATGAGTATATATAATAAATTTTGAGAGTGTTTCTAGATCAACATTTCAATGATGGTCTCACTTAAGCAGTCAGTCTGCTTCATATCCAACTTCATATCCACTCACTTGTCTCTGCCATCTGTACCTGGCATACAATTAAAATTCTTCCCCATTCTTACAGCCTTTAGCCCAAAGTTCCAGCTTTCATCCCAACCTGTGGCAACATATTGCAGGATTACCTTGCATCCATGGGGTTTTTCTATTCTACATGTATTCTTGTGTCTGTTGCAGTTTAAATGATATAGGACATTACAATGTAAGAACAGAGAAGCAACAACACAGTTGTCCAGAAAGCAACAGAAATAGAAAAGAACAAAGTAAAAAAACGTGGTCCTTGAGAAAATTCTAGATTATGAAACAATAAAGAAATGGTGAAGAAGGAACATTGATGAGTTACAGTGATTTTGGACAGGGGAAAATGTACCATAAATGCATACACAAAAAGTGTTCAGTCTGACCTGTGCCATGATTTTACACAGCCACTTTGGATCTACAAAATACAGATCTCTCAGCTGAAGTGCTGGGTCTTGGAAATGAAGGAGAACACCTGCACGAAGAATACTGTAATTAGCAATGCAGTGCTCAAGATCAATATCAAGCAAAGTAAGCACTCCATTCTGGGCTGTTTTTATTATATGACTTGACATAAACAATTTAATAATAAATACAGCTATATTGATGTCAATATCTCAGAACAGTAGAGTGCAAGCACATCATGCTCAGCTTTACCTTTATTTTCAGAATTTTTGTTAGATTTTTAATCTGACTTGCTTTTTTGCTATGATCTGTGTGGTTTATTATTTAATCTTATGAAGTCAGTACTGCACTGAGATAAACTGTTACATGTGTTTCTCTAACCACAATTCTGAGTGATTGGAACAATTGCATCTTTCTTCTGCAACTATGCTGCCTAACCAGCAGTAGAATGTTTTCAAGGAGGGGTAAAAGAGAGCAAGAGATATAAACTGTTACAGTGCTGATCCTTCACATCATGGAATTCCTTTCCTAATAATGTGGTTTAACAAACTGATGTTACCCAAGCTTAGACACCTCAGCTTACCATCGTGTGGCTTCCCTGTGAAAGATGTAAAATCACGTACAGATCTGTCAGCTGCAGATTTACAGCAAAATGTTAACAAACACACATAGAAGAGAATATTTTACCTGATTCATTCAGAAAGTGAATGGCATGAGGGAGTTCATTTTCATCCAGCTGTAGCTGGCCTTCTTGTACCAGTTCCAGCAAGCGCTTCTGATCAATTACAGGAAATTCCACTGGGACGTTTTTACGTTCCAGCAAAATTCTCTTTTCCAGCTCCAGGTAGCTGTCAGGAATTAGCTGACCAACCACTGGCTGATCTCTGATCTGTAAAATTATGAATAATAATCTTAAATGTATTCATTTATTCATGTGAAATTAAAAAAATAAAACTAAGATATAAAGTGTATGTCCACTCAATAGAAGCAGAAAGAAACAAGAACACTCATTTATTGACTAACATGGCTTCTGAAAGGTAGATGTAAGTAATTATTCTTTCAGAATTATAATGTATTCCTGTAAATAACTACTCAGAGAAGAAAATATTTCCATATTACTTGTACATAAAAAAATAATAAATAAGGTCTCTCAGAAGATATTTCAGAGAGAAACTTTTGTTCAAAGTAAAAGGGAAATATTCCCTGTATGAGTAGATTATATCATACATCTTCAGTTAATACAGAGCAATACACAAATTAATAATAAAAACCTATACTTCTTGTAGTATGTAATATCTCTAGCCATGTATTTGGATAAATGGGAGAGAAGAGGGTAGTAGCTTGATTAAAAGTCTCCATTGCTAGCAGCCAGTGGACAAGAGAATTAGAATGAAATAAATTTAGCCACATGAGTGACATAAACGGGTGGGTGCCCTGTGCCTGTTTCCTGAGCCTCTGTTCCTTCCTGCAGACACCCTTAGGTATTTGGTAATCACTAGTACCCAGTCAGGTTTTCCTTTCTCCATGCGTGCTGACCCACCAACTTTTCTGAGGAAATGGGAAACAACTTTCCCAATATTTACAAACTGGCCTCATAACTGTAATTTTTCTCTCACCAATGTACTGTGATGTTTTTGATGTGTCAAAAATATAATTGGTACCTTGTGCAGATGAAATTAGCACCTTGTGTAATTTCAAAGACTCTGGAGTACTTGATGACAATGCTGAATATTAAACTAATGTGGTCTAATCTCTAAGCAGATTAGAGATTGAAGCCTTGTAACATTCCTTTCACAAATTACCTATATAATTTATGGTAATTATCTCCTTTCAGGCCATCTTACATCTGTGTAGAAGTTTAAACATCAGTTTAAGTCATAGTCTCAAGAGATGCAGACATTAAAGGAACAACATTTTTCAAAAAGCAGAACTGCTCTGGGGTGTTCTCTAAGTGTGGTGAGACACAGCGCCACATAAAAACACCAGCTCAATTCATGCCTACTGGATGTATGAGAGGAGGAATTAACCCATTTCACTTGAGAGGGCACCTCCTTGCCATTTAGGACTGGTTAGCTGTTCCTTGCACTGTGGAATGAAGTTAGAGACAATTTGGATATGGCTAAGCTGCTAATTCCTGAGAGAAACAAGAGAGGCGTGTACACTTTAACTCATTTGTAGCACCACTGGTGTGAGGCTAGTCATAAATACATCATTTGCTCTACAAAATCTTCCAAGCAGTCATTTGAAAGAAATTTGGGTTCTGGTACAATTTATGAAGCTCTTGACCATTGATTTAAGTAGCACAGGACATCATCTTTTCTCTTTAATGTGCTATGACATAAACAAAAAATGAAAAATATGTTGTTGCACAAATTAAAAAAAACAAGTACATTCTTTTGTTACAGACAAGATCCTGTCTTTCTACAAGTTCCATGCCTGGCCAGGTCTCTTCATTCCCACTCAGAGCTTCATGTTGTGGCTAAGGACAGAGCAGGGAATGAGTTGGGATGACTTTGGAGACAGAATTACAAGTGCAGATATTCCAGTCTAGGAGGATCACTCAGTCCACAGGATCTTCCTTTCCTGCTTTAATTCATTTTCCTCTTTATAGAAACAGTTTCACACTATGTAAACTAAAATCAGTAAATGAGAAATCAGTTGTTTTTCACAAACCACAACATCCTATTTCCTGTCCCCTGAAATCTTGCAATACTTACTGTAATTTCATGATGCTGCCCAAGAAACCAAGGTTTTAATGAAATTTCTTTGTAAGACAAAGATAGCTTGTTTTTCATTGAATACTTGATTTATGGCCGTAGTGCTTGAAAACAGAACTTTGCTGGGATTTTACTAAGTTGAATTTTTGGGAAGAAAATCAAATTAAAACAAACCTGGTGAATTTCCTTCATATTTTGCTGTGTGTAACATTTTATAGAAGGCAAGATGACTTTGCTATCACACGGGAATTTATTTAATTATGCATTAATGTTCAAAAATGCATTCACTTAAGTAAAACAAGGTGTTTTCAACATTAAAACAGTATGGATCTCACCTTGAAGTGAAGACTCTCCTTTATGATGATTTTCCTAAGTCTGATGATGGAATCAGATTCTTCTGTGGCATTAACAAAGTGGTAATCCTGGATTGCTGGGAAGCCTCGCTTGTTCAGCAGCTCTCTGGTGATTTTACTCATGCAGACCTTACGCTGCATTTCATCAGAAACATCCAGATGAGTGCCAACAAGAATCACAGGGGATGTTGATGCTCGAGCCTGATAGTGAGATCCATACTGTTCATTAATTCAACAGCAAATGTTGATTTTGGAGTTTTATATTCACATAAAATGTGAGCAATTTAGTCAAACATTCAGAGAGCTATTTCAAAAGAGAAATATTAAAAAATCAGCTTTTTCTAAAAGGAAGGAGTGTACATGTGTATTTCATTCTTTGCAGATTAACACTATTGGCAGTAAAATAGAGGAATATTATTCATTAAAACGTCCAACAAAATGGAATAGCCAAAAGAAATGGTACTTTGCTAGCTGTCTTTGGAACAGGGCAGCAGGGAAACATCAGCAGGTACTGCAAAGCAAAGGAGAAATTATTTTCAGAAATTATTTTCATCAACACTAAACTGATTGCTGTGTCCTGTATCACTGCCCAAGGTGAAAAGAGTGGAAAAGACAAGCTCATTAACAGGAACAGTAAACAAACTCTTTATGTGAGTGTATTGCCCAGTCATGGCTAAGCATCCTATAAAAGAAAAGACAAGTAATGCTCACTCGCCATGGAATGGCTCCAAAAATGGAGATAAACACTTAGAAAAAAATGACAAATACACAGGCAGGTTCTCAGGTCAATTCCCTACCATAGTTCTGGAATAATTCCTATTAATAACAGGATACTAAGCATACACTTAATAGCATGGTTTCAGGCCTGTATCTATATATGAGTTTTAAATTAGTCTAATTCTCATTTCCCCAAAGTTTATAATGGTGTAAAAGAAAAATGAAGTTTAACTCATTATTTCTTTAATACTATTAGTTTCTTATTTTTATCAGTAAATTCAAAATATTTCCAGAATATGCAAACTATTCTTTTGCTAATCACTTTGCACATTTTAAGTCCATAAATGGTGCTGATCATGTCTTTTTATGTCTAAAATTACTGTCATATCCACTACATGATGTATTTCAGCTCTTGTTTAATATTACTGTTCTTACTTTTTGAACTATTTTTTTTCTTCTTCCCCTATATAAATATTTATGGTTAATGTGCTATTCACCCACAGCTCCCTGGAAAGGAGAATTCCATTCTGTAAGTCTTACCTTGATGTTAAAAAGCCATGGCTTCATAGCATCCACCTCTGCTTGTCCTTTGCTGAGATCATAAACAGCAAGATATAAAGCCCTCTGGGTCATGAAATGAGGATGGGTACTGTAGAACTCCTCTTGTCCTAATGATCAAAAATTTCCATTGTTTAGTACTTCCTTGACTGAACATCTGCAGGTCACAAAAAGGCAGAGGAACACATGTCCCTAGACCACGAGTTCAGAAGTGAAATTAATGTTTGCAGAACTTTATATAAATTGACAGGAAACCATAAAAACTACGAATTTTAGGAAGGCACTCAGTGGTAGCTCACAGATTGAAGTGTAATGTTTAAACACACTGGTTTTATACCAATGTAAGATTTAACTGGATAAACATGGTTGCTGCATGGACAACTTAAAAGGTAATGATTCGTTTAAAACCTCAATACTGAATTTCTCCCTCACTCTTTCCTTTCCCTTTACTTTCTTCCTTTCCTTTCTCCTATACTTTCAGCAACTTCAAAATAAATTCACATAACTAAGCACTTAAAATTACAACTAAAGCTGGACATGCAGCTTGAATGGCACTGACCTGTGCTTATGCATTGTGATAGACTGTATTTAAATGATGACAGACATCTGTTTAAAAATAACTTTTCTATACCCTCAAACAGCCCTGGATTTTAGAAGTGCTTCTGTACTCCTCCAGACTCAGAAAGGTTTCCAGAAACACAAGGTTCAAAGACTCATCCTAAGTGCTTTGCTGTCTGTAACCTTACAAACCTGTGATATTGCAGAGCCTAGAGAGACCTGGACTACAAAATTGAGAAACAGAGTTTAATGAAAGATTCTTCTGATGATTACAAGCAATTTCTTACTATTCTGAAATGATTATTCTAAGTATTATAGTTGAAATGAGTGGTCAAACAACATTTGGTGATAAGAAATTCCTGAGGCTTTATATTAAATTTGAGGGATTAGCTGCTGATTTACAGAATCCACTAATTTATAAATGGTCATTGGACTTTGGGTGTACGTTTGTGATTCTACTGTCCCCAGTCTGAATTACCACAGGCTGTCTCTAAGAATAAGTAATGCATTAAAATGTTAGAAAAGACAATAGAAAAGGAAAATAAACTCAGGAAATACCTCCAAAATCCCACACATTTAATATAAGCTCCTTCTTCATTTTGCCTTTCCCTTGAATGATCCAGTCTTTCACATCAATGCCTACTGTAGCTTTTGGAGAGCCCAGTTCTGTTCGTTTGCTTTTCATGAGCTGTTGCAACAGGGTGGTTTTCCCACTGCCAGTGTTCCCAACAATCATGAGCTTCATTCTGTTATAAGGCACTGCCTTCTTCAGTCGCTGCTGAAGAAATCTGGTAGAAAAAGTTTGCAAAACTCTCAGAAGTGTATAACAAAGAAAAAGACGAACAGAACTCAAGAACAAAGAAAAATCTAGAACCATACAATTTTCTTCAAATTTTTAGTATCTGTTTGATATTACTGTTCTTTTAACAGTCTACTCTAATTTCTGATTTGAAAGCTAAAGTTTAATTCAGAATATGTCTTTTTTTGCTTTGTAATTATCCCAAAATTGTGCTCTGTGCAGTGCACAGAGGAACTGGAGAACACAATAAACATATTACAAATAATTGGTAAGCATCACTTATTGCACAGTTTGTGGAAGCATCAAATTCAAGAGGTAATAATAGTATAGTCTAAACCACTCTGTTATCTGTGTGTGTTGTTATCATAACCTCCCACACAACAGCAGGCTGGATTTCATATGAAAAACCAGCATGTCTTTACAAAACAGCATGGTATTTCCTCAATGCTTACTGCAAATCCCAAGAAAGCAAACCAGGAATATTCAAGAACAATAGGGCAACAAACCTGATAATGTCTCTGGCTTTGCATCCCACATGCTTGAAGTCTAAATTAAGATGGAGTCCTTCCAAAGGAAGATCCCAGACTTTGGACAGTCTTCCCATTTCATCAGGAAAGAATCTCAAATCAGGATTATGACTTACATCCAGAGAAGTCAAGTTCTCTAGGAAGCCAATCTGAGGAGGAATCTAAATAAAACAACATTTAATGGGCAATTAAATAAAAAAAAATTAGGAACATGAATACATTAATTATTTAACAGAGCTAGGTATTATTTTTACTGCTGTAGTTCATTTCTTGTAATAAACAGGCCTAATATCCCACAGTAAGACAGAAAAGACCTTATAAGTAATTCAGTATACAAACTGATTATATGACATATTCCAGGCAGAAAATCTGAATAGCATATAGCAATTTTCCTTCACAGAGGAAGGAAATATTTGCACTTACATAACACTTCACTAACAGAATGCAACTGTATTAGAGGGGACACGAAAATCAAATTAACATTGAAAAACTGCATTCAACTGAAAAGCAATTAAATTTTCTTCAGGTAGAATTTTAAACTTTACCTCCTTTAACTTGTTGTGGGAGAGGTGTAGCTTTTCTAGCCTAGACCATGCACATGCCTTTTCACTCAAGTCCAAGACATCTATTTCATTATGATTAAATAAGAGCTCCCTTAAATTTAGTGATTTCCAGTGCATTGGTCCAGGCAGGCTTGTGATCTTGTTTTGGCTTAAATCTACTGATCTCAAACTAAAAACGTGAAAATGAAAAAGAGAGAAGTCAGCAAATGAAAAAATAAAACCCAGGTTAGCTGAAACCAAAGCTGTATTAATTTTTAATAAACAAGTGGATTAGCTATCAGAAGAGATGGTTTTCTGACTGAAATCCAAATAAAGTAGATATAAGTATACAAACACATGTGCAGAAATTACATAGTTCACCTAGACCTATTGGACAAGTTTATGCTGCTATGAAACATGAAGCACACAAAATTGCATGCAACACCTTCCTGATTTGTTTGAGTTGTGAGATGTAGAACCTGAAAACTGCATTTTTTCAACACATCCATTAAATCTGCAGCTATGAATGTTAGTGTGCTGAAATTGTGCAATATCATGGTAATTTCATTAATATAAATTCTCAAATCTGTGGATCTGCTCTCTCTATGGCACCATCAGCACTCACATCTCCCCACACCTACTGGATCACCCCTTCCAAGCACTCCCTCCACAATCTCAATCTAGTGATCTGTTAAGGTCAGCAACTTTTACAAAAAAAGCAAAAGTCCAATTTTCACATAAGCAATGCTTTGAATGTATAGCAAAATAAATGTCACATGCTTCTTTACCACAACTCTTTTTGGAGGAAGTGTTTTTCTTTGAGAATAAGTATCTCATGTTATTTAGGAAGTGAAAAACTAATCTCAGTAGTCTTGTGCAAAAGTCTGCAGAACTAAAAAAGTTGCTGATATATTTTTATTGTTGGTTCCTAGGAAATATGAGAATTCTAGTATTCTCAATTAAAGAATTGTCAGCTTCAGCTGTCAAGGAATATATTTTCAACAACAGCAATTTGAATCATAGGAATAGAATTTTTCAGAATCATGAAGAAAATGTGACTAATTTGTCTTCAGTTTAAAAGCTACCAAGTTCAGGATTTACCCAGTGAGGATTCCCTGAAAATCAGTAAACCATGCAGGATTTTCTGCAGAACAACAATTTTGTCATCAGATTTTCTTTATCAAGAACTTGACATTAACATCAATGAATAAAAGAGTAACTTACTGTGGTAGAAGAAGAATAGCTTCTGGAACATTAAGAAAACAATTCTGGGATAATTTTAAACTTGTTATGCTGGATGACAAGTCAGGTATCTTTTCTAGAGCAGAAAAAGGGGTTAATCCTATGATTTTAAGAATGGTTTAAATTATTTTAAAGACTGGAGTTTACACAGACTAAAAGGTCAGTCTATCATTTTCATACAAAGGTATCACCTACCAAAGGCAAAGTTCAAATCCTTTTTCTTAAAGCTTATTAAAAATGAAAGTCCCAAAATTAATTAATATATCATCTTTTAACAAATTATACATTGTTATCCTTCATCTCCTGGTGGCATTAAACACCAAAATAATCTTACTTATACTTTAGTGTACTGCAAGTACAAAACTGAACACAGGATTTGAGGTGTGGCCTCACCAGTGCTGAGCACAGGGGGACAATCCCTGCCCTGGTTCTGATGGTCACACTGCTGTTTATACAAACCAGGATGCATCCATATATTACAGTACAGTATTAAACCTGCATTAGTACTAGATTTGCAAGCTAAATCTCAGTGATTTTCTCTTCTTTGAACCTTCCTCAGCAGTGTGTACAATCTCAAGTGCACTCAGCCATTCTTACAGCATCCACTCCAAATGCAGGAACAAGAGGAGTTGGGTGAGTCAGATCAAATGACTGGAAGCATGCTCTGTGCTTCAGTGATCACAAGCTGATGCTTAGGAAACTCTATAAACAAGGATTAGTACTTGTATTACTCTTTTCTGTTCTCCCAAGACTCCAAATATTGGTGGCAGAGGAATTCTGTGACTTGGAATAATTTCTAGAAGGTGAATCCTGTTTTCACAGAGACTTACCAAGAACATTCATCCTGGCATTGAACTGCTCCAGTTTTGTACAGCCCATGAAGACATTCTCAGCAAGGGATGAAATACTGTTCTTACTAATGTTTAAAATTTTCAGGTCTTTCAAGCATAGGGGTGAACATAAGCAAGAAATTTTGTTTCTATGATAACAACAAGAAAAAAGACAGTCCATGTTTTATTTAGAAACTATTAGGTAAAAGGTGAAAGTAGTGTTGATCTGACAAAGTCATCCTTACACCAGTAAAGCAAAAAGAAGACTTTATCTATATAAAGACTGACCAGTCAGCAAAACCACTAGAACATGTGGCAGCATGGAATAACATGACTGGTATTAAGATCAGTTTAATTAATTTGGAGACCAAGTGTCAAAATGTATTGCAAGGTTTAATTTTCTGATTACATACTGGAGCTCAATCCCATGCAAAGAGGACTGCTGCATTTGTGAGAGGTTCTGTGTACTAAAATTATGTGTTTGCAATATTACAGAATTACTAACAACCTACAAAATTAAAAAAAAATTCCTATATGGAATGCAATTCAGGATAAGTATATAATTTTACACAATGTAGTCTAGGGAGAAAAACACTAGAAAGAGGAAGAGAAAGATCCCGAAAATACAGAGATAAAAGATCCATCCACTGTTATGCCAGGGTACTATTACTAACAAAGTTCACCATCTGATTTAGCATGAACTGTAGGAAATGAATGAGACAGCCTCTGCAGTTTACAGAGCTATCACCAACTGCATTCTTAAGAATTCCACATGGGTATGAATTACCTCACTAAGAAATATGGTAATAAGTGCTGGCAAACAAAAAGCTACATGTTTTAACCCGTTTCTGTGGCTTAAAACATATCCATACCAATACCTAAAATTCCATTACTACTACTACTTCCAGAAAAGCTTTTATGCATATGAAATACCGTGGAAACTATTGTGTATACAGAAAACCTTATTGAATATGTCAGACTACACAGCCCTGTGGATTAATAGGGTGGAGCAGAAAGAAACTGAACTACAACTTATTTAGTATGGTAATGGAACAGCAATGCTGCTTCATCAGATTCCAAGAGAATCTAGATTCCAACAAGGTCCAAAGTCATTCCCATACCTTGTACTTTGCAATCCAACTACAAAAACTGCAGCAATTTACACATTTGGAAGACAATGGCAGTGTTCCACCGGTGACTAAACAATTCTTTCTTTACATGCTATAAAGAGTCATCATCATGCATGACAAATCTATTATTTCCTATTATGTTTATTATGCTGCAGTCCATTTACTCATGCTACTCACCCTTCCAGCGAGAGCTGTTCCAGATTTTCAGCAACACTTGTAAGAAATTCAGGAGTGCACACCAGCTGATTGTATGAAAGGTTGAGTTGCTTTAGAGTTGGACATCTGAGGTTGGGATCCAGAGCAAAGGAAGGGCCGATGTCATTCCGTGAGATGTCGAGGTTTGTGATACAATTCATCCTCAGTAAGTACGGCGGGAAAGCCGTGAATCGGTTACTGTGCAAGTCCAGGTAAGTCAGGCATTTCAAGTTCTGAAAGAAAAGGATCATTTGTTTGAAAAAAGTTAAAAGAAAAGATGAATTTATGTGTTTGCAATTGAGTTATATTTTTATACAAATTATTGATTTATTTATATTTATCTCACTATGTAAAAGTAGGAGAAAATCGCGATCATACCAATGTAACCTATAATATTTCTACAAAAAAAATAAAGTATTGGGCATTATTCAAAAACAATTAGCTCCATTTATTAAATTTAAGATATTAACTGCCTGCAGTTCCATTGCCATTATTATGCTACTTAATATCACAAAATCTTAAAGCAGTTCTCTGCAGTAAATTACTTTAAACAAACCCATGAAAACACTTTTTTTCCTAATGAACATGAATCCACTGAATGAAAGTTGAGTAAATGTATGAATCATGTTCTTGAGTAATATTGCTATGGATACATTATTACAATATATATGGATTACATTATTAGATATCAACACTTTATTTTAACTAATTTCAACTAGTGTTATATAAAATTATGCAGAATTACTTCACACAGTTGTTCTGGAATGTTTGTAAGAGCATTTTGATGGAGCTCCAGTTTCTCAAGGTGTTCCAGATGACTTATTAAGCAGCTGTTCTGGCTGATAGCATCAATGTTCTCCAGCTCATTTGATGAAAGATCTAGTGATTTAATATACTCTTTCTCTGAGATCAATGAAGAAAGACTGTCTGATGATCTTATATGTGATGACAATTTTGAGATGCCTTCTATTAAAACAAAAATGTGAAAATAACATCATTTAATTTATCACTATCACTTAGGTAAAATTACAATCATTTAGCTTGGGATCTAAAGATGCAGAAGAGAGTGAATGTTTGGATATTGGTTAGGATACAAATCTATGAAGAATTCTATAACGACACAGAAATCTATAAGACAGTAGGGAAGGGGAAGAGGTGGATGTTTATGCACTGCACAACAGAAGGAGCTTTTGAAAGCTAATAAGGGCACTCATTAAATTTTATTGCCTACATAAATTATTTGTGGAGTCCAAGAAACAAAAATCTCTATATATGCATCATTTGTACTTTACTGTAATATTTCCAAAATGTATCCTCCTCCTAAACAAATACATAATGTGTCTCAATCCTTGCATGCTATGCTTGTGAAGTCATTAAGGCTGTAAAATCTGTTATATAATTGTACAGTTTACTTACTGGGGGATTCATCTGAGAGCAAGAATTTTCGTCTTTGTTTCATTAATGGTTCATAATCTGAGCCAGGTCCCTGCAAAATCCAAGAGAAAAAGCATTTAGGAACATATAAATGTTCTGAAATCATCCATATTCAGTAAAACTCTTTTTATTGTCATTTCTTTTTATCAGAGCTTATAGGGAGAACACAAAAAACCCATACACTTGAACTCAAAATAACAACAGGTCACATCTTTAAAAAATATATTTATCCATGAAATATGAAAGGATGGTAGATTTAAAGTGCAATGGAAGTCGTGCATTTCTGGCAACCCAGAATAACTTCCACTAGGGTGCAATAGGATAATAATAGGATGGAGCAGAGTACTACAGAACATAACTTTGTCTAGGAAAGCCAGTCTCTCCAGTTTCCCTTTAGAGTTAATGGAAAGAGACAAGGTCCTTCCAAAGGAACCTGACCTCTATTCCACCAATTTGTCCTCTTATGTCTCCTTAGGGAATCAGTCTCTCTCCATTGATCATTAACTTCCCCTTAGTGAAGCTGATCTTCAGTAATTTTTTGTGACTGGGCCCATGATCCCTGTATTTCCATTTGAACACCAGACTGGAAATCTGAACACTTCAAAAGGGTGTCTACTCTTCAGTGATCATAAATTTTTGCTGACAAACTCATCCACACAGTGCACCACAGCAGAAGGAAACACTGAATGGCAACAGTGAGACAAAGACCATATGGTTATATGACCTTTCCTATCACTTGATTATTAACAATTTTGGAGCAGGCTACGCAGATGGACTTAAAAACCTGGAATGAGCATGGATCTGACTTACCACAGAGTAGGAATGTCGCATCAAAGTAGGAGAAGCTCTCTGACATGCCATTTCCCTACAATATAAATCAGCAACTGCAATGGAATTGGACTTCTTTTTTGTAAAAAGTGGGCCTTCACTTCCTTGAATACAGGAACAGAAATAGGTGAGAAAATGTGTTTAAAGATGAGGCTCAGAATTCAACTGTACTATAGATGCTGACATACAAAGAAGAGATGCATTTCAAAAGCATCAATACTGGCAGGATCTCACTGGCCAATTCTGTGTGCAATAGGCCAAGAATGTTGTCTGTGTTTTAGAGCAGAGGGGCCAGACTCACTTGACATTCTTCAAGTAGGATCTGCAGGTGATTGCAGGACCTGCACTGATAATTTATGATACAAAATTTCCATTGGGTTGAGATTATTATGCATGTTTCATAGCACATGTTTCTGCTACTTCAGTGTAAATAACTTTTTAAATTGAAAAGAGTTGTATTTCAATAGATAAATTTGCACTCCCACATTTATTGAGAATGAAACATCAAATGCCACTCCGTATTTGGTGAATCAGGAGACATTTGGTGTCATTATCTGGAGATATTTGATTGTTCCTCTTCTCAAAGCTACTTTTAAAACTCCCAAAATCACTTCTGAATTTTTTAATGATAACAACTTCTCTACATGGAGCAACAAATAGACCTACAGAAATTAAAAGTGGTGCTGAATGATACAAGGAAAACAACAAAGCAGAATAAAAAAAAAGTTCCTTAGGATTCTCTGATTCCAAAATTCAAATTCTTCACCTGTGTTGATTTTAAGCAACCAGTTGGTTTAAAACAAGAGCAACATTTGAACAACAAAAAAGATACATTAAAAATTAAGGCTACTTTCATCATTAAGTTGCTGGTATTATAGACACAAATGCTACATTTCTGTAAGTTAAAGGCATTCAAATGTCCTGGTTACAAAGAATGGTGTTGGGCTGAACATAAACCTGTCATTTACACTTTCAGATCAATTAGTTATCTTTGGGATAGAGCTTGTTTCACCTACTTTATTTGTTAATAACATACACCTCTATATCAGATCGGGTTGTATGAACTTCATTTGCAGAATACCTAGGGAACAGAGGAGTTTCTAGATCACAATACATGACTGACTTCATGATGAGACAAACTGGGCTCTTGAAGCTCTTGCTTTTTGTCATAGACTATAAAGGCAGCTCAGAAAAAGACAGAAAAAGTCAAAATCTAAATTCAGTTGCAAGAATCTTACTCTTTCTCTCTACAAGAAACTGAATGCATGACAAACTAATTCTAAATGTATAACTGTAAAATTCTTCAAGGTCTTAGTTTTGTACATGAAGCACATACTCACCACAAACTATTTTCCAATGCTACCTCAAACAAAATTTTAGATAGAAGTTTTTTTCTTCATGGGAGATGTTAAATCTCAAATACAACTAAATAACTGATTTATGGCTATAGTCTAGCCCTAGTACATTAGATTTGGATTATAAAAAGCAAAAAAGAAAATAAAAACAATTACCTTCACTATCAATATCATCACACAAAGGAAAAATACTGTCCACTAACGGGTCAGGTATGAAATTCCAGTCATAGTTTCTGTCCACTCCATCTTCAGACAAGTTTGGATCAGAGGAGGCTCTTGATCTATCCTCTGAAATATTCTTCATCTGGAATTTGAGCACCATCCTTGCCAGTGCAGAACCTGCATCTATATGTACAAGAAATGGAAAATATAAAATAATCTCCAAGAAATCCAAGTAGCTTCAAAAAATAACAGAAATAACTTGATTTGCTTTCAAGTTTTGCCAAACTTTCCATTGCAAGCTGAATGCTATGAAGAGATTCTCAACTGAAAATCTTCAGCCAAAACACATTCATAGTATCATCAGAAGATATTGACACATTTTCTATATTTACAGCAATTTCTACATATACTCACTCTGTTTTCTTGTTTGAGTAAGTTTATCTGGGAACAAAGGAATGAGCCAGGAAGGCTCTAATCTGCCAAAACCAAATCCTCCAAGACAAATACTGCTGTTGGTGACATCAAGGCTAAGCTTCTTTAAGAGCAAGCTGATGATCTGGCTGTCTCCTCTCTTTATACTGATGGCCAAAGCACTCCGAACGTCCTGCTCTCGAGCACCACTGGCCAACAACAATTCCACCAATTTAGGATTACTTCCTTTCTCACAAACCTAATAGAGAAAAGCAAATAAAACAAACCAAGAATGTGAAGCATTCAAGTAACAGCTCAGACTGCATTAAGATGTTTGTCTCAAATTCAGAGTGACTTTATTTTAAGGATTGTGTATCTTTCTCAATTATGCAATTCCTTACTCCTTTGAGCATATGTCTTCCTAAGATGCCTGAGTACCAACTCTAACTTTCATGAAGGCTTTGCCCAAATGTATCAAATGCTTTAGATCTGCAATTGTAATTCTTGTCATGAGTGCACACAATTTTCAGGCAGAAATGAATGATAATTTATCTAGTTTGTTTGTTGCATGTGGCCTATTGCAACTTCACTTATTTATCTGTTTAGTGGAAAATAGACACTAAGGGGTTATCATCTGGATATTTAATCAACAGGCAACAATAGTCAGTTTCATCAAGCCTTGTCTAATGATTCTGAGGTCAGCTCTGCTGGCTTTAACTACCTGAAAGGAGGGTGCAGCCAGGTAGAGATCAGCCACTTCCCCTGGGCAGCCAGTGACAGGACAAGAGGACATGGCCTCAAGCTGCTCCAGGGCTGCTCAGGCTGGACATCAGGAAGAATATCTTCACTGGCAGGGTGGTTAAGCATTGACACCCTAAGTGGTGGAGTCTCCATCCCTGGAAGTGTCCAAGAAACAACTGGATGTGGCATTTAGTGCTCTGGCTTAGTGGACAAGGTGGTTTCAGCCAAAATTTGGACTTCACTATCATGGAGGTCTTTTCCAACCTTTATGTTTCTATGGTTCAGTCAGCTCCTCCCAATCTCCAAGTCTGCACAGCTACGCAGACCAGTGTTGATGGTGAATATTAAAAACATTTTCTAGAAATACTTTCAGTTACTTCAATAAGTGCACTGTGGTTTCCTACACTGATTTGCCTACCTCACACTCTATGAATGGATGGCAGTTCCAAACCCAGCTGTGCTTCGTCACCCACAAAGTTCTACTTCCTAATTCCGTCCAGGCAGTATAGGTGGGGTTCTCTCAGACTATTTAAAACTTTGACACTAAACCAAAATAAAGAAGTGCTTATGCAAATCACTTAAAATAATTAAATTTAAAGGTGGTCACAGTTAGCAAGAAGCACTGGTGAGCATGTGGGAGCAGCATCTCTGTTCTCTGTGCTCGGCCAAATAAATATTTACACAACAACAGAAAGGAACCCAAAAGCACGAACTTGTAAGCAATAAAATTGTATATATATTTCCATGTATTACCTGATAGATCAAAGAGTTTGTCTTTGTCTTCTTATTAACATCAGCTCCCAGTAAAAGTAAACATTCAGCCATAATACTATTGTACTCCATACATGCTTTTTCTAGCATTGTATTTTTTAACTCATCATTTTCAGCTATTTTAGCAAAACATCTACAACACAGGCTTTGAAACTGAATGGAAAGACAAAAAAAATAAAAGTTAGGACAAAAAAGCACCAACATTTTTCAGCTGTGCAACTGTCAGAGAAAAAAGATACCTGTTGATCTCGCTGGTCAGTGAAACACATAGACATCTGATAGAAAATGACTGTGTCAAATGATTCATTTACCAGCAGCTTTGCAAAACAAGGTGACAAACCAAGAATTGCCAAGATTGCATGAAATCCCTAAGAACACAATGAGAACATTGAAAGAAGTACAGTGTTAAAAAGTGTTACTTTAAAACAGGTCATGCAACAAAATGAAATTTCAACCAAAAAATTTGTGCTTTAATTTTTTTTGTCTTATCTCTAAACATGGAATAGTTAACAAATAGGAAAAGTCTGGGAGAGAAGGCAAAAATAGCAGGTGTCTCTGTTTATATAGCTGTAGTTTCATGCTTATTTAGCTGATCCACTTAAACAGATATTAACTGACACTTTGAAAAGTCAAATATGCAACATTATATCTGGCAACATCCTGCCTGGCAGTGACAAATGTACTTGTGATTTCCTGAAAATGTAAAGAGGAAACAATCTCCTTCTAACGATATGGAATGAAGATACATCCTCTGTTCCAGTGTGCTGCTCTGTAATCCCTGAATTTTAAAAGAACTATTCGACTAAATGAAAAAATTAACAGGTGCATCTAATAACTAAGAAGAAATACAAAATTATCCCATGATTCTGCAAGTAAAGTTCACCCAGAAGGATGAACTCGGTAAATTATGGACTCTGTCCAAACCCAATTGAAACGAAATAGTTTAAAGTAACTTCCTGATTCCAGCATACTGTTTTTATTTCTCTCTATTTTGGTTGCTAAGCTAAATGCTGGAAAGGCCGGGCAAAAAACAGCAGCAAAGAAGGGAGGCTGTATTTGCAATATTTTCATATTCATATGAAAGAGAAATATAGAAACTCTCACAGAAAGCTGATGTCACATGCACATTCTATCCCACTAGAAAAGTGAAACTGGTAACAAACAGGGAAAACTTCTGAAGCAGAGGAAACAAAATTTTACACAAGGATTAAATGTGTGTTTACAGACAAAGAACTCTCCTTCCATATACAGATGTGGCTCCAAAGTCTGACAGTATTCCAGTAATATATTTTCTTAAATACAGCATTCCTACACTAAGTTTATTCCTGGTAACAAGGCTTGGAACTAAGTTATCTTCTACGACTTCTCAAAGAAGGGCAATCAGAACTCTAATGATGGTTGTTTCATGAAATGGTTACAGATTGACAGAGTGATGGATCATGACTGAGAAATTTGTTCTAGCTTGCAGATCTCAGAAGTTTTAGATAAACATTTAACTTATGCTTACACATTCTGGATTGAATATATGCCTGCAAGAAAACCACCTCTACAATCAATGTCTCAGTTTAATTACAAAGGTTTATACTAATCTAGTAATTTCAATAAAATCAAAATCAAGTAAGTAAAATAAGGAATTATACTTAGATATAACTATATTAAAATAATTTTCTATGGTTTTGAGTTTTGATTTCATCTTCATAGACAGAAATGACACATACATGCATCTGGATTTCAGTGACCTCTTTAAATCGTCGCAGGGTAGAAACCAGAACTGCTGACAGGACGTGCATGGTGGCAATGCACAAACTCCTCCGTGTGATCAAAGAGCGCAGAAGACTCAAACCCAAACACTGTATGTCTAGAAGAAAAAGAAATATTATTCAGACACTGATAATTCAGACATTCTGATGGAATAAGCCCATGATTGTAGTCTTTCAGTAACATTCCAGAAAGTACTTGCACAAGTTATTATAGGACCAGGCATAACTGCAGTATGAGTGAATCTGAGGATTGTGCAACACTGCAGCCTCCTCTTGCCATGCAACCAAAATCACATCCAGCACTAAAGAGAGCAGCAGATCTGGTACAAACCTCCTACCATGCCATTCTCATTCTGCTGACAAAACACCTTCCCTACCTTGTTCATCTGGATACATCTGTAGGGTGTGAAGCACAGTGTCAGTAGCTCCTTGCTGGGTTAAAATTTCCAGTGCACCTGTGCACTCAGCTACAGAACCAAGCAGTTTCAATCCACACTTCTGAATGCTAGGATTTCCAATAAACTAATGGAGAAAAGAAGATAAAATCAGATCAAGATTGTTCTGCTTACAGTGGCAATAGAGGAGTTGCTTGTTCTTAAAGCTGCTCTGTAATAACAAGTCAATGCTGAACTGAAGTTACAGCTGATGTGACAATAAATAACAACAATCAACAATTCCAAAAAGATTCTCTTATCAAACATCAGTTTCAGCTGCTCACACCTTGCCCAGATGATTCTGAAAATATTCCCTAGCTACTTTTCTGATGAAAAATTGGATTTTTCCCCCTCAAATTCTCATTGATAAGTTTACACCATTTTTCTAGGTCAAGCAGAGAGAGAAAATCTACTTCCTTTGTGGTTAAAAAGGAAATAATACAGGGTTTGTTTTTTGGTTTTTTTTTGATAACTGGAAAAAGCGATAACCATGCTGGCAACTGAAAAATATTAAAAGAAAAAGATATGAAGCAACATATCTATTACCATCCCCCACCTTTAGATGGAGGAAACCTAGATGAGGGCCTAGATCTGTGTCACAGAGAGTGTGACAGCCATCACAAATCTGCAAAATTACTTCAATGGAGTCATGTCCATCTCTTCCTCCTTATTCTGTCTCTAGTTTTTAATTAAATGTGTCAATTTCTAGCCCTTCTGCCTGATATTGTAATACCCCAAACCACAAACCAGATGCATTGGAAAATGCAATCAGGATGATAACAAAATACTGAAGACCTTCTGGAGCAAAAATTGTTTTACCTCCTTTGTTAACTTCTCTATCTGATACCTTCAGGTCAAGATGTCCTTTAGACACTCTAGAACTATTTCACTGATACATTACTTGCTCTGACTTCTATAGTAAGAGACATAAATTTCCTTGACCAAATCTATTTGGCAAGCTTAAAATTCCTGAGAGGGGCTTCTAAAAAACTAGGAATTGCTACATTTTGATTGTGATCATGTGAACCTTGAAAATCTTGTAGAGATTGGATTCTTCTGAAGGCCATGAAGTTAAACATTTCCAATCACTAGGATCTGAGGTTAATTTGCTGTGCAAAGTTCCCAGTTCCCAAAGTTCCCAGTGTTTCCTTGGCATAGACTGAGTCTGCTTCAGCCTTTCATTTTTCAGCTTCTCCTTCAAGGCACTGTGATCATTCTATTTTACAGGGGTTGGAAAAAGTTGAACAGTGAAAAGAATGCAGACAACTCAGCTGTCCACTCAGTTATATGTGTAGCTCAGGTGTAGGCATGAGGACACTTCTCATATATACACTAGTCTGTTTTAAGAAAATAGAATACCAAATAAACTGCATCCTTGAAAAAAACCCTACCTTTTTTTTTTTTTTAATAAATATCCTTTGGAATTACTGTATAAAGAATCATCTAATACACTCCAGAAAAGAAAGTAAGAAGAAAGTCTACAAGATTCATGAAACTTGGGAGTTAACATTAATTCTATTAAATCAGTAGGAAAATCAATGCAGAACTGAAATGTACAAATGATTCACTGCTTCAAGTGTAAAATAATGACAAAATCCATTAGAATAAAGCTTTAACTATACCCTGTTTAAAGCATTAAGCACCAATGAGTGAGTTCCCTCCAACAGACACTGGCTTTTAATGACTTTTCCTGTAAGTGCAAAAGCAGCATCTCCCACATCTCTGGAAGAACCATTCTGGTGTTCATTCTTTGTACCTGCAACAACAGAAAACAATCTTCCTCAGAACAGCAGAATTCATATTCTCCCCATCATCAACCCAATAACAGAATCTAACAATCAAATGAACGCTGAGGTGACTCAAATGAACACTGGGGTGACTCAGAGAGCATATTCCAGATCTCATGGTACTTCCAGAACACTGTATTGCAGAGACTGGAATCCCTCCAGATTTGCATTGTAATATGAGTACATTGTGCTTGAAAGGAAAATTTCACCACATATTTGCTCACTGCTTACGAGGAAAATACAAAACCATGCCAAAGAATCTGCTCTAAGGTTCACTGCAATCTATTACTTTTTTTGAGCTATGGAGTTCCCTGATACCTACTTCAGAATGCCTCTTCCTTCTGGTAAGGAGACACCATAGAGAAGCTATAAACTATTTGCTCTTGCTCACTTGGCAGCACACCATAGGACAAGTTTTACACACAGATGACATTAAGTGGTATGTGAGCATAAACAAAAAAACCCAGAGAAAACCAGTCTTTCAAATTAACCACTGTAGCATTTGGCACTTGCAGTCAAGTGACACTACAGAAAGTACCCAGAGATCCTTTCAAAGTCACTTCAGCATACATATTTACTGTGATTATTATTTTTCCCATGAATTACTTTTTTATTCTCTAATTAACCTGCAAGTTCCAACATCCAGTTGGTGCTCTCTGTGCTTGATTACACTTTAGAAGGGCCTCACTTCCACGATAATGGCAAGCAAAGTGCCTTGCCTCCATGTTAGAACACACATATCAAATCTAAATCTTGCTCTTCATTGAAAAAAGAGGAAAGTATTAGGATTGGAACTCAAATAATAGAAGTAAACTGAAAACCTGCAATCAGTCTGCATATTGATCACGTCACTACTTTCAGAGTTATTAGTTTTGTAAATGTTCGGCTCAAACTGCTGAGAGATACCTACAAAAAGTTATTCTGAAAAAAAAATCAGTATCCATGTCTGTATTCCTACACTCAATATCACAGGAAAAAAGCAAGATTTATAGCAGTACATTGACAAAAAGAGTTAAAACTTTTCCAAAATTCTACCAAAGCCATAAAATTAATAAAGATCATTTTTCCACCCTCTGGATTGCTGATAAAGAGGGTTTTTTCAGAAAGGAATTTATAACTAAACTAGTCAGTTTGGTTTCTCCTTTTTGATAGAAAGTAGTATATAACTGTATATTTTACATCTTTAAATATATAGATCACTGTCCAGTCTTTATGTTCCTTCCAAGAGACACTTTCAAAACAATTGCATTTTGTGGCACAACAATGTTCATGTCACTATCAGGACTTGCTCTCACTTAAACGGCATTGATGATGCAAACCACAATGACACTGATAGCTCCACACTCACTCCCTGAGTTCCTTAGAAGGAATGGAGCTAACTCTTCACTGATGAAATCAAGGGGAAATCAGCAGTGATCAGTTTGGTCTGTTACCTTCAATACCTCGAATACTTCCTCCCATCTAGTATGTTCCTAAAGATTTACAGCTGTTCTCTGCTATGTACAGAACTGCAATAATTTTTGAAGTCCCATTAAAGGCTGTCTCATTAGATAAGAAAGACTAAAACCCAGCTATCTGATTCTATTCTCTGATTTGGTGTATGCCTTTGGAGGACTTACTGGGCATCATGAAGTGTAAAAGGACTCGAAGTGCTTCCAGTTGTACAGAGAGTGATTTTTCATGTCTCCTCATGGCTTTTACAACTTCTGATACTGCTACTGTCATTACATCCAGATGAGGGAAACTGAAAATATCATTCATAAAATAAATAAAAATAATACATTTCCAAATTTTACATGTATTTGTCCTTAATTAACACTGTGTGATAACCCTTTGGAACACTGTAAATCTGAAACATAAATTAAACTGTAGTAATTTTTTTCATCATAGCAAACTATTTTCAAGCCATTCCATTAATTCAGTCCATGTAAATAATAGCATCCTAGCTAACAAGAAATTAATATTAACAAAATGCTATTTTAATAATCAGAGGTAATTTTGTGGCAAATTTCTTATCTCTCAATGCAATTCAACATGGCTAACAGAAGGGGAGACCACTCAGTGATTGTCTATTTGAATCTCACTGCTCAAGAACAATGAAGGGAAGAACATGCAGCTCCCTACACACACCCCACTTGGGCATTTGACTACAGGGCTTACCAAATTCCATGTCTTAAACAGGGAATTTGGTCAGTCTGTGGTCAATTTCACTACCAGTCAACAACCAAAATGTAATACTCTTGGCACAGAACCTCAAAACTCTTCACCATGAAAATGGACATGCATTTCTAATTTTATTACCTTCCTTCGAAAACATGATTCAGAATCCTGCAGGCACTTTCAACCATTTCAGGAGAATGTGGATGTTTCCTCATTATATCCAAAACATTCATATGTATGCCTTTTGCCAGTAGTGTCTTCCTAATGTTTACTAAAACACAAAATATCAAGCATCTTATAAGTAAATCTTTCTTTCTGTGTAATTCTCAAGCACAACTGGTTTTCCTCCTTTTTTTTCCCCAATGTTTTCGCCTCTTCAAACAGACATTGTAGTATAAATTAAAATGGGAAACAATTTGAGCTGAAGCTGACTTATGTTTGCATAGCTTAATAAAACACCTTATAATTTCTGACTGTCTCCTAAGTTTCTATACATCTGCTATTTTTACTTAGGTAAAGTTAACATATAGGAAGAAGAATGTATAGCCTCACTCATATTTCCAGAAAAGTTTATTCTTAAACTTTTTCCTTGTATTTGAATTCTGTGATCATGTAGGAAAGCTAGAGCTTAAAACTTAAAAAAAACCTTCTAACTTCCAAAATGAAACTTTAAAAATGAACTTATATTTATTAATTCTCTTTACTTTGTTAATTCACTTCTTGCAAATTCAAATATCCAAGCACACATTGTAGCTATAACTGCAATTGATAAAAATTACAACATTATTAAAATTATCATAGTAACTACCACCAAATCTTGTTATTACCAGTTCAGTACATCCATTTCAGATGGTTAGTTCAAACAATACTGCATTATGCCAGAAGGTTTTACTAAGCTTCTTTATGTCTATCATTTATGCTGTAAGCACATCCATTCAGGGGAAAAAAAAAAAAAATTAAAAAAAAAGAAGAAGAAAAACTTGCTTTAGACTTCCAGAAGGAACCAGAGGCCCACTTGTCAGTAACATGTTATGAAAGTACCTGATATATGACAATAGTTTGCATACATTTATGAGATCCATTTCTCAGTATAGGTAAGATACTGATCTCATAAATAATTATAAAACCTTTTCTGTGTTAGGTTTTATGTACTTGGATGGCTCAATAAATTGGTGATAAAACAATGCTTTCTCACCTAGAGAATGGTAATTAACTGCTAGGATTTTTCTTCCTATCTAGCCAGTGGTTTTCAATGTGCAGTCTGCAAACCACTTGAGGTCCATGACCATTTCAAAGGATTCTGTGAAAGTTATCTAATAAAAGCAGGCCAACTGTCAGTAGGCTTAAATACTCTACTCAGGGGTCCACATCTCCACTGAAAAATTTTGAGGGGGTCTGCAAATTGAAAAAAGTTAGGAAACCATGTTAGGGACACAATCAGGAGTAAATCAATCTTGAAAACTGTCATGCACATGCTTAACTTTCTACACAATTTGATCCACTGAAGTCAAAAGGACTGTGTTAAGCAAGAAGGTGATACTTGTTGGGCTGTGGTCCTCATTCACGTGATTTTTCAACCAATGTTGCTCTTGACGAAATTCAAACATGTGATAAGTATTTAAACAAGCATACAAAGAGAGCACAGTTTTTTTCATGTCTCCTGCTCCAAAAAGTAGCAATTGCAACACATAATGTGCAGAGAGCTTTTCATTTCCTCATATTTTTTGATACTAGCCAACAGTAACTTTTTCAAAGCAAGGAACAAACTTCCTACTTATCACAACAACGTAATATTCTAATCACAGGGAGTACTGAATTCACTCAACAGTACACTAAATTCTCTTTAATATTTTTGCAAAAACTTTCTGCTGAACAAGAAAGAAAAGATGATTAAAGTCCCTTACCATTTTGTTGTGACAAAATTGCCAAGGTGCTAGCAGCTGCCTGAAACACTTCTTTTGAAGAGGAGTGCATCAGCATGGACAGCATCACTGCTCTGTCTATTGGGAACCTTTCAGAGAGAAACAAATCACTGCACATTAACTGTATTACAGCAGTTACTTCAGAACTGCAGTTCAGTTTCTTAAAGAGGTATTACATAACACAATGAAAATTTCAGGTGATTGCTCTTGGTCTCCAATATGTTTCCAGAGCAACAGCAGACAGAAAACCCTTTCTAACCTATACAATTTTGTCTAGTCTGAGTGTCGCTGAATTCCTTGGAACCATGATTTCCAAGGGACCTGAGGTCCAGAGGGGGTATGAACAGGCTTACAAAAATTGAGTGACCAAAATTTTAAGGAACTCTGAGAAACAGTTTAAGTAAAATGGAAATTTGTGTCTTATCCATGCCCAGTAGATTTTCCCTAATGAGGCAGCATTCCCTCTATAATGCTTTTTCATCTGTTTTGTGGGAAAATGAGCACTGCTTTTCTCTGCCCCTTACATGCTATCTTAATCTTGTCTGTTTTCCCAATTCTTACATTCTTTATCCCTATTGCAAATGAAGACAAAATTCTTCATGAACTGTAAAAATTAGCTCTAATAGGTTGTGTTCTGACCCTTTAGGAAAACACTAGCAGATTTTCCTGAGTCAAGGTTAGCACACTTTGGAAGAAACTTTCCCAGGTGTGGTTGATCATCATGCATTTCATCTACTATAAAATTAAACATAATTGAAAAGTGAAACATCAAATGGCTTAACAACAGGCACTCATTTTTTCTTCATTTCCAAAAAATCCAGTTTAAGACAACACTGACTGATTATCTCCATCTCCAATCTTCTCATGAAGGTTGCGTTGATACAGAAACAGATTTTTCAAAGCCCAGCACGCAGCCTCCTAAATATAAACCAAAACAAAAAGATTAAGAAAATATACCTCTGGAAGATTAACAACATATGAAAAAACTTTAATAGTTTGACTGCTTTTCAGTTCACAAAAGAGGTACAAGGCACTTTATGTAGAAATAGAACAAAATGTACACTGTAATATTCTTTATAGCTCAGATAGGCCTGAGTTACAAACGTGTGACAGTCTCATTATTTGATTTTCATTTTGACATCTATTTTAGGACAAGATTAATTCTCCTGCTGCTGGGCCTGTGTTTGGCTGTTTGATACAAAAGAGGTATGTAAACAACAATCTTTGCATGGCCAAAGTTTCAGGTATAAGCTTCATCTTAACTACCTACATTTGATCTGAAGAAGTAAAACCTCTTAAGACGAACAAAGAAAGGCAAGAAAGGTAAGACTTACTCTAAATCTAACCCAGACATTACAGTCTTTTTTCTGCCTGAGGATAGAGATGAGAAAAGCATGTTTCTAAACATTTTTTTTTAATACATAATACAGTTTTGCCATATTCCCATCACCCATAATTTCTCACCAGCACATCTGTATTTTTTCGGTGCAGTTCTAATGCTCTGTAACACGCTTCCAACCAGCAGAACTTTTCTTCCTCCTCCTCTTCTTTTCTTTCCTCTAAGTCCCGGTTTAAGAATATTGTTTCAGCTGGAAATATAAAATATTTACAATAAATTCTTACTGTGAAAACAAAACACCTCTGTCTTAACCTTTCTGTAGTCATGGAGGGACTCACACTGGCAATGTGTGTAAATCAGTGGGAAGATAAGCCTTTTCTGGGAAGGGAGAAATCTTTTGCTATAAACTTTGAGACAGACGTGCAGACTTGAAAAATGTCTTCAAGGTTATGAAGGGAGTGAAAAACTAAAGCGTAGTGTAGTAAATGTCACAGAGTTACAGATCAGTCTAGGCTTTGGCTCTGAGAAGACCTCTGCATGTACCTCTTTTTGTTGCATATTTATGTGCAGAACACCACAGACATAAAATGTAACAGTGAATCATTTGCATGGAACCACTTACTACAGAGCCATCTACACTCTGAAGCAATGCTGTTTAAAACAAATGCAAATAGCAGTTGCTAAGAGAGAAATAGCTGAGAAAGTGCAACAGAATTTGAAAAATGAAATATTCTACCTGTGATTTTCAGCAATTAAGGGAAAGAAAGAGATACCAACACTGAGGCATAATATCTGAGGCATAATGGAATGTCTACTGATATCTAATCTTTGCTATTTTGGGGCCTCTTAAACAGCATTTCTACTGACATTTATATGGAACAATTACTAAAGGACAAAGAGAATCAGATTCTTAACTTTTTCCCACTAGCTAACTAATTTCTGTCTGAACTGTATTCAAGGAAAAGTTTACATCTTTTAATTAATTTCAGAACTCAAGCACAAGCAATGATTTATTGCTATCAACTGCCACAGTACAAGTACTGTCATACCTGGCAAACACAATGTCTAACCAGTGTTGTTATCACTGTATGTTAAGAAGGGATTATCCAAAATTTGCCTATGAATAAACAGTTTGCTCTGTTTGCTCTGTTCAGATCTGTCAACATAACTTACCAGCTCTGAACACGGTGCAGATGTTGGGCATATGATATGAACACAGACTTATCATAGTGAAACAGCAAACTGCAATCATGTAGGAAATCCAGCTTTGTTGAAGCTGTCCTGCCTGAGGCTTTTGTGTTAAAGAAATGGAGTTTGAAATTATTACAGGAAATTACTAGAGTGAAAAAAATTAACAAGTAGACAAAGATTTACTCACTTAGAAGAGCTAAACAACTGAGAGCTGCAGCTTGTAACTTTGCATTTTCAGGATATGTTGTAACAGCTTTCACAATGACTTCTGGAACTTTATGTAATACAAGGATATTGAAAAAATTTCCTGAAACCAGATAAAATATCAAATTAATACAAAAACATATCTAGAGCTTTACATGCATTTAACATAAATTTCCCAGCACACAATGCATAAACTTTGTAACAAATGCTGTTTTTCTTACTACAGGGCTTGACATCAAAATTTATTTGTGGAAAGAAGAGGTGAAGGATAAAAAAAATTGAGACCTACATTCTTTCTGGGCCTTTTTGAATTTTTTTTACAAGCGGCGAGGTTTAATTCAAAATGAAACACACACTGTCATCAAAATAAGAAAAATACAATTGGTGTATCATTCGCAGACTTCCTGCCAGGAAGCAAATGCAGTCCTGGCCCTGAATTCCTGCAATGATTTGATTTATCCTCTGACACAAGTAATTTAACCCTAGTTAACTCTCTGATTTTGCCTCCTCATTAAATAAATCAAGGTTGGCATTACAAATATAGAATAGAGTCCTTCTGGAACAGAGGAAAGCCTTTGGATAATAAATATATTTAAAGCATAACAATTATTCTAAGTTGTACAGCATTTTGTATTACAGGCTGAATATAAGGCACTCTCCAAAAAGCAAGCAAATTCAAATAACTTCCTTGTTTGGAAGTATTATATAGAAAATAATAGATCAACACTCTGTCAAATATGGTTTGATAGCTATGGCTTCTATTTTGATATTGAATTTCATTTAAATCTTGACAAGCAAAAATGAGAATTAGAGTAGTAATGCAAAAGATCAGTTGTGTGGTCATGTTATATCAGCATCCCTGTTTCTTAACATACTTTAATGGAAAAGGTATGTTTGTGTAAATGCATTACTTACCTAAAGAAATTAATAAACCTAGGCCATGTGATGAGTAGTTCTGTTGGACTTGGGCTGGCCAAACAGGTATCAGCCAGGTAAAAATATCAAAGACAGTCCAGGATAGCCATTACCAGATTAGCAAGAATGCATGATGATTTTGGAAGCTAGTACATGCTAACTTTACCATTTCACTGCCAGTTAACATGGGTTTAGGAAGACAGTGTCCATCAGAATAATCTGGGAAATAACTTTCAGACTATTTCCAGGAGCACCTAACAATTTTATTTCTGTTCCCATAATTGCATGGTGCTGTGAACATCTCTTCCATAACTCTACTAAAGCAGCTCTTTATTAAGATGAAGGGCTCAAAGAAGAAATAAATCTTGTGACTGCTTTTCTGCCCCTTTTTTGTTGGTCAGCAGAAACTCATGGCAAACATCTGATTGAAACCAGGCTGGCTGCACTCACAGCAAGATCAAGGCCTCTCAACCAAGCTGCTGTGCTCCCACAAGTGCTTGGTTTCCCTGTGTATCTTCAGTTAGCCTTGCACAGCAAACTGTTCAAGGTCAGCATCACCTCTTGCCAAAAAAACCACTGCAATTACCACCTCAGCAGCCACCACATTTCCTTAAAAATCTCATCTGGCTTTCTGAAGGGGAATGGGAAATTGCTCCAGGTTGCACTCAGGTCTGATCTGTATTTTCTACCATATCTGCATGAAGAAGTGGAAACAGATGGTGAAAGGATGGGAGCAACTTTATTATGGGGAGTCATGCACTGGTACCAGCATCTGCAGTAGCTTCACACCAGCACCTGCAAAAATTGGGAAGTCTAACTCTTGATGAAGAAGAACCAGCCATGGAGTGAGGGCTGCTCAGGCAGCTGCTCACAGTGGGCTTGCATGCAACAGGGGGAAAAACATATTCATTTTCATTTGAACTTCCTATTATGTGGTTCTTGGCAAGTGCTCAAATGGATTTATTAGTCACAAGTGTGAGAACAGAGCTGCTAAGAGGCACAACTTTTTGCCACTGACATAATTTCTCCTGATGTGACACCAGCCCATTTTAGCACAGACAACTGAAGTACTTTTGCTCAAGTCAAGGCAAGTCCAGAACCCAGTGATTCATTCACTGCTGCAGCACAGGGAGGCCCCAAGACAGGCATCATCACTGTCAGGAATGCAGCACAGGTCTCTGAAGATAAATGCACTGCAAGGAGGAAAGCTAGAGTTTTACAGAATACTTTTCAACTAATTCTGTAGCACCAGTTGTTTCTTACACATTCACCCTGGCACTACAAAACATGAAATCTCTAAGTAATTTTCTTCTTTTCTATAGTAACTTTATACAGAATCAGACCTACTGATTTCCCATTCTCCTATTGTGCTTCTCACCCTTTTTTGTCTCATTGCTCCCCCCTAACTCGAGTCTTTTATGGCAGCTGCTCATTGTTACATTTACCACATAAGGACACCACATTGACTGTGGTCAGGGTCACCATTAGACACAAGGATCCATGCACCACCCTGAGGATTACTGGAATAGCAGTTGCTGTCTGTAAACACTCCCAGTTAACTCCAACTCTTACATAGTCAGAGTAAGCTGACTTTACATAAACAACTTTGTGAACTTACCCAATGTAAGCTTGTGCAACAAACAGCAACTCACTTCCTGAACTGCTTCACTGCTGGGGAAACTTTTCATCATTTCCACTATAACATTGTAGCAGCGAACATTTCCCGACATGAGCACTTCAACATTGCTGGCTGAAGAAAGAAACAGAAACAAAAACTGCTTCTTAAAACAGAGGGGGAAAAAAGCTGACTGGATTCTAAATCAGACTTTAGCTAAACAGATTTATTTAGGGAACTGTGACTATACTGCAATTTTTACCTTGCATCTTGAAAGAAAGGTGGCTTTATTTCTTGATATGGTTATAAAATGATGATGAACATTTGGAAACTATTCATTAAAACAATGCTTTCTCACCTAGAGAATGGTAATTGACTGCTAGGATTTTTCTTCCTATCTAGCCAATGGTTTTCAATGTGCAATCAAAATTCAGATTAATATTTCTGGTTTTTTCCCATTTTGTATCAGGCCATGTAACAGAAACCTCCCCCCAAACTACTATTAGGTAGCTTTTTTTTTTTAATGTGAACAAGCTGTTTTATAAATACTATATCAATGTTATAAATGGTGTTTCTAACATGATTGTGAACAAGCACACATTTTACAATATTTCAGCGATATTCCCAGGCACATAAAATTAAGAAAAAAAAGTAAAAAATTTTTTCCCATAAAATTTATTCTGTAGTCATTTATTTGATTTAATCATGTATTTTTGAGTTTTCCTTCTTTTTAGGGGGCAAGTTAGGAAGTTATTATTCTCATACAAATTAGTTCTACCGTAGACCTGGTGTTCAGTACCTGAGGGTACTGAAATTTTCATCTAATATTCCTGCAATATTTTGAAAGCCATTGCACACCCTGTATTTCACAGAATTGCAGAAGATTGACATCGGAAGGAACAGCTAAAAGTTCACTGCGTCCAACCCACGTGTTCAAGCAGGGCTGCCTACAGCAGCTTGTCCAGATGGCTTCTGAGTATTTCCAAGGATTGAAACTTCACAGCCCCTCCAAGAAAACTGTGCCAGAGCTTGGTCACTCTCACCCTGTTCATGTTTTATTACTCAGGCCAGATACAGAAACCAATAGGACAATCATGTGACCCTATACAAAGACAGAATGTATCCATTCCAACTGAGGACAGAGTGATCCTACATATAGTGATTTCAGGCAAAACAGCATCATAGTAGTTAAAACACAGTGTATGAAAGCATCCTTGTAGTATTTCTATTCAGGGTATGAGACAGAATATGAACCCAAGAAATCTTGGCCAAAATCCTGGCCCAAATGAATGAAAGGGAGTCCTGTCACCAGCTCCAAGGGAGTTTGCATTACTCTGCTGAGGTCTATAAATTTTCTTAATTGCTCTTTCAACAGCTTGGCTTCCCTGATTACAACATAAGAGAAATATTCACAACTGTAGTATTAAAGATAATCACTTTTTTTAAAAGAGCAGCAAAGCTTTAAAATAATACATCTCTAAATACTAAATCATGACAACCTACTGGATGAAAAAGCAAGCTCTGAGTGGGAAGCATTTCTGAAGCACTCTATTTGATAGTGAAGGAAGGAACCTTTCACAATGCTTTAATAGGACAGCCATTTATCATGTCATTCTCAACTGAAAACACACATTCCACAAAACAGTATTGCATAATTCCACAGCAAGTTATGATTTCAAAGGTGATACTAATGAATATAGTAACATAGTCAGATGATTCCAAAATTGATCACTACAGAGATGGCATAATGAAGTGCATGTCGAAATCTGCAAGATCCAAGCAATGGCACATCTGCAGCAAGTCACCATGTCCCAGAACAAGGTAGAGAAAAAGGTGGAACAGATCTCATTTAATCTTAACCACCAAAACTTGGTCATCCAGGTTCTCTCAACAATTGATGATGAGATCTGAGCACTCTGTATGGAGACTCATCCCAGCTGGTTTAGGGTCAGGTAAATTTCCTCTGGGGGTGACTGTTCCTCCCTACTAAAGGAGCCCAAGCCTGGCTGGCTCCCTGTGCCTGCCATTCAGATGGGTAACATTCTGTGATCCACCACTCCACTCTGGAGGACAGTCAGCAGCAAAGCATTTTTCTCATGCCACAAATACTACTGAGATTAAAGAGTTCTTGTACACCCTTATCCTACAATTTCTTATAACCCAAGTGCAAGTATGTATTAATGAAAGAAGGCATAGTGAGGTACTCATTCAGAATAGAGACTTGAACTTCAGGTTAAGGGGAGACATTTGCTACTGGATAAGTTACAGTGTGTACCTAACACTGAGTTATCTTCTCCATAGTGGTCTCAAAGAAATATATCTTGTTGAGTTCTTGAGGGACGTCACCAACCAAGAGTATGAATACCAGCTTTGCACACTCACATGCAAGTAGTCTCTGTTCCTCTGGCTGTTTTCAATCTTTTATATTAGAAATGAGAATATTAAATGCCTGCTTTAAAGCAGGTCTTTTTCATGCCTTCTCTTTGCATAACTATTTACTGTTTTGAAAAGGACTTAAAATCTGGCATCCTCCTCCTTAGAAAACAGCAGTAACTTTTGGGCTAGGGTAAAATTATTTCTGACTCAAGGGATACTAAGCTTTTTAAATACTAACTGGAAGAGCAAGAATTTTAAGAAACAGGAACTAGATAGCTTGGAGTTTGATGAAATGCAGGACACTTCAGTCTAGTTCTTGTTCAGTGGGCATTGATGGGGCTAGCACAGTTCCTATAGAGCCAGACAGGATGTGCAAGCGAGGTTTTGTAAGCAAACACACTTGCAGGAGGTACAACATTATGCACCTCATGAAAGACACAGAGAGCAGAACCCTGCTCTGTGCTTCCCCAAATTTGTCAGCAGGAAGCTGACAAAACCTGCCTCTGTGTCAACAAGATCAGATTGCTGTCAACAAATTGACCCAAATCATCACACACATTTGTCAGGACCTGATTTTCCATAGATTGCTACTGGAAGACAAGAGCTAACAAAGACATTTTCCTCCAGTCTTACTGCACAACACCTGAGGACACTGTAAGACACCACATGCACAGTGCTCACCACTGCAGCCACCAGTGAATGACCACAGCAGGTGTCTGAACTCAGATATTTTTCCCCAGGCCTGGCCATTGAATTTGTACAATTAGATTTTGCCAAGAATATTCTGTACCTGTGACCCAAACTCACAGAAGATTTTTTTAGTCAATAAATGTATCTTATTTTTCAAGTAATAAAAGATGACAGGACAGGGTCTTGAAACTTAAGTCTCTACAACCATGATAAACATCTTTGCTACCACTTAGTCCAAGTGGAAGTATCTTTCTGTTAGGAAGGATTTATGCTTCAATGGTTAAATATAATAAATAGCCCATTTAAAAAAAAGGGTACTTCCCAAAGAAAACAGGAAGATGATTTGTCTGGCAACTCCCAACCAGTTCTCAATGATTTTCTGCAATCACACAAAAATTACTTTTTACACTTACAGAAAGCAAGAGCTGATGCATAGTGTGGGAGAAAAGGAATTAAAAATAACTTCTAATACTTACGTGGACCAGCTAAGGAATGTAATGAATAAAGTGCAGGAAGGATCACCTCTTCTTTCTCTGGAAACTCTTTAAAAACTTTCAGTATGATCATATGATCTTTGCTTTCAACAAATTCAGTCAGCTGCTCTTCTGGAACTAAAATGAAAGGCAAGAGATACAGTATGTTTTGAGGAAATAATTCTTATCCTGGTGCATCATGAGAAAAGACAACTGTTTTTATCAAGTTTCCTTGTATTTATTCTCTATGTTTCACAGAAAGTAAAGTACTGTCCATACACATAATCTTCCATGATTATGGCTTTTTAAACTAAAAACTGAGCTACTTTATAAACACCTTCTTCTACCTTACACTTCATGTAATTGAGTTCTGACTTTTAAATGCTACCTTGTGAATCTGTATTTTAGAAGTCTTTTAGCCTTTTTCACAGAATGCTAGTCCAAACTAAGTTTCCACAGACAGTCCAAACCAAGACAGTTTATAAGTGAGGGAAAAGCTAAGCATACAGTGGGAAAAAAATTAGGGAATGCCATTTTGCATACTCTGAATTGATTTAATTTTTCTTTTTCTTTTAAATTTTTTTTATAATGAACTTTTTTTTCCATAAAACCACATTTAATAAAATCCTACCTTAATGGCTTAAGGTTTTTCCCTTCCTGGCCTCTGTTATTCATACTGACATAACTGTGTGGCTGTGCAATGACACAGGTAAGGGAACTGACCCAGGATGAGAAAGAGCACCTCTTAAATTTCACAAGCAGAATTGTTTTCTGAATCTTGTTAAAGACAAGGTTATGCAAAGATCCACATAACAAAAACTGACAAGGTGCCTCAGAGGTAGAGAAAACAAGGCAGGAGCATCCTAGGAACCTGTCACATTGGTGCTGCCATCAAGATGCAGCCAGATCTGTAAAAACCTGGCACTTACAAAAAACATGCACAGAAAACATAAGAAGTTCAGATTGTTATAGAGACTGAAGAGAAAATATAGCAGGGCAGAAGTATTTAGGGACAGGAAGAGGAAAAGGAACAGAGAAGATAATTCCAAGCATACATGTGGGAGAAAGACTTAAAAAAGCAAGAGAGAATGGTGCCAAAAAGAGCCAATCTGAAGAACTGAAGATTATCTTTGAAGCAAAGGAGTACAGCAGTGATAGCATTTCTCAATATTTATTTTGGATCAAGAAACTCAATTCAAAGCAAGGGGACTACAACAAGGGGACTTCTGGCTGTAACATGCACAATTCTTGAGGTTTCTGCAAAAATTCAATACATGGTGAGTTCATTTTTCAGAATAAATGGGACTATTGTATGGACACATGATCACCTTTTAGCATTGCCAGGGTAAAAAGCAGAAAAAAGTATTTTTCTAAAGTACAATCATTTTGTTTGATTTTAGAACTGTTCACATTACTAAAATTTACCAGTCTTAAATACACAATCCTGTTTTTAAGAATTAAAATCAAATGTCACTATTCTTTATTCCAGTTACTGACTAACATTAAATCCCGTCTTTTCAGTTAATTTTGGACTTAGAAATGAAGGGACATTTTTATTTTTTAAAAGATGTCATATTCATTGCTCTAATTTATAGAATTAGTGAAATTTCTTGGAAAGTCTGCTTTGTGCTAGCTCATTTAAGAACAGCCATAATTCACAAACCAATCTGGAATGCATAAATTCATTTATTGCCTTTAAATTAATATCTGTCATCCCTCCCAATCTATACATTTTTCTAACATCATAAACTACAAGATAAAATACCTTTCTCAAAAAGTTTGTGTAAGGCTTTACATCCATGCTGCTGGATCTCTTCATTTTTAGGGAAGGTGTGCATGGCATTAAACACCAAGGAAAACACATCCACCTCTTCTTCCAAGAGCAGGAAAGCAATTATGTCTGAACAGCAGAAGAGATTACATGTTGCACTAATTATTTCTCAATATTTTCATTGAAACACCATAAAATCCAAAATTCTTTAATATTGTCCTTAAAGCTTACTCTGACAGTTCAAATCCAGTTTTGTGTAACCATGACAAAGATTTCTCTTAAGACAGCATTTTACAATAGTACTGATGTTCTAAAACTTTACCACCTATAGACAGTTCATACCTACCTGGTTAAAAAAAGGTTCAAAACAGCACTCTTATTATTTTGTATACAAGTACAAATGACAAGTGACTTCATGGAGTAAAACAGAGAGAAAAGTCCAGTCTGCCATGGACAATCACACACTTCAAATCAGCTCTGTGTTTTAAAGGCTTAGATGGAATAGGAAGTTAAAGCACACAATACCTGACATGAGGAGTAGATTTAATGCTTTTAGTCCTATAACTGAAAGATTTACATTTCCTTTGTGGACTGTAAGCATTTTAAGAATCTGCCTAAAAATTAAAGACAAAAAAAAAGGAAAAAGAGTTATAGCTAAAGAAATATTGATACACACAAATTTTTATCAAACATTTACTTTGAAAACAGAAGTAGTGGTTACCCTGCAGAGCACCAGTCTGAGTGCAGATTATTAGAGTGCTCTCTAATATTCACTACAGACTGATGACAGCACAGCACTGCTCTGCCTGCAGCAAGAGCTCAGTTACACTGAACAACCAAGGCAGCAGTTTCCCAGCTGAAGAACTTCAACAGCATCTTGATGAATTCTATCCTATGTTTCAGCCCTACAGCACTTACATGATGCTGGACAAACCACTAAAAAGAAACATTTCCTAGACTGCCAGTTGCACTCTGTGTACCTTCTGTAATCTGCTCTGACTTGTTAAACAGAGAGCCAAACAATGCCAAGTACTGCAAAATTCAGGTCATGTATCAAACTGGGCACAGAACAATCAGTAGATATTTTCAACATACTTTACTCAAATTACAATCTGTAAAATAATGACTAAAAATCTGTAATACCTCTTAAAAAGTAAATTAAAAGCATTGATATCACACTAAATGAAGCCTACATCAAAATCAGGGGCAGAGGGGAACTGTAATTAAAAACTAAATTAAAATGTATAGACTTACACACAAAAAACTAAAGAAACTTTATTTTTTTTACTTTTCCTTATTTTAGAGAGATTGATTCAGCAATTTTAATAATATTCAAATGTGAATCTTTGCATATATAATATCTAATAAAAATACATTGTGCAGTAGTTTGTAATACTTCAGTTGATATTCTTGACCTGTCTTGAAAAACATAAGCAGCAGTTGAAGTTTCATCCAAATTTCATACTCCAGCTCTGGCAGTGATGTTGTTTGCCTTGCTGAAGTCTAAATTTATAAGGGGGAATGAATCACTATTTTCCCTTCATACTATGATGCTGCCAGTTTCCTCTGTCGTAGCACTAGTGTTGTAGCTATGATGACCAAAGTAGACATGGGAGGCAAAATCTGATGAGAGGTATAACATCAGCTACAGGCATAACATCCACTTTCCAAATTTACTTTCAGAAAATTCCCTCCCATGGATCCTCCCATTTCAAATATAACCTAGAAGGATGTAAACCTTTCTAATTTTTTTCTGCTGTAGGAAAGTTCAACATAAGAGATTACAAAGCATCTCAAGAAGTCTATTTAAGCTTATGGAAAGAAGGCAAATACACTGAAGGAAATTCTCTTTCTTTCACAGTGACAGCAACTATTTAATTATTCATTACACTGTCTGTCAAAAACACCTAAATCAATAGCAAACTACCATTTGTAAACATAACTGTAGTGAAGTCAAGTTGGATCATAGCTGAAAGACAAAAGAAAGAAATGCTTTTCCTAGTTTAATACTCCCATTCTCCCAAAATAACTACACACACAAAAGGGAAAATCTCCTGATAAAAAAATGACCTTTTCTTCTCTATTATAACTATTTCCTGCCTTGCTGTAAACAGCATGTATTGGTTATGGTGTTGATTCCCACAGTACAAACCATGCTCAAGGAACATGAGACATAATTTAGCTGGCTTGTTCTGCCTTTGGCACTAACAGAAATGCCTGGGTCCACTCCCCCACTCAGCCTCTCCACAGCAAGGAAAACTGTCAACATGTCAGACAGGGATACACAGTTGGCTAAAATGATGGCACTGAGAAGGAATCATGTACAGCGGTGCTATCATCAGATCTTCAGTGAAGTTTGAGTTTGGAAAGGATGCTTTGTTAACTGCACACACTGTGTGGGTGCTGAGGAGGCTGTAGGAAAGATCAGTCCCAGAAAGTAATTTTTCTGGGACCTGAGAATGAGCAGCAGTATCTCCAGCTCTCAGGATAACTTGCAGTCAATTAACAAGCCAAAGAAATTGTAGCCAGCATGTGCAGCTTCAGCTCAGTTATTTCTTGCTCATGAAAAACAACCCAAATCACTTTTGCAAATGCACCAAAAAAGCTGATGTAATAACTTTATATATTTCATTGCACATATATGTTGCCAAAATGACCAAGCATTCTGGCAGACTCTGTATACAAAATACTTACTGGTGAACACCCAGTACTTCCCAGTCCTTCCCAACATCCTTAGGAGCTATGTTTTGTAGAGTATTTGGACAAATTTCTATTAATTTACAAAGAAGTGACCAGCCCATCTGTAAAACAAAAATACAGCTATTTTAGAATAGATATTCTGCTTGGAACTTCTACATTGTCTTCTAATATCCTTGGCTTTTGCAAGACAGCTGTTCTGTTACCCAGGTAAATCAGTAAGGGAAAATTAATTAACACAAGACAAATGGCATGGGAAGTTAAAAGAGGGAAGTAAAACATATGCTAATGATTCTGATTGCATTGCTTGCAGGAACACATCACTCTCAATCTGCTTCAGCACGCTTGAGGGTAAAGGGCACACAATTAAATGAGTTGCTGACAGACAGAAAGATATGATGTGATGTGATCCATAGCATTTTATCATTGGTCAGGGAAAACCCCTGCACTACTGCAGGTGTATTTTAATGAAAAATGTGTGTTTTTGTAAGAACTTGCTATTTAATTGCAAATTGTAAGGATAAAGTATAGGTTTTTAAAGGCCTTCAATGCTTTAAATGGGGATGAGATACATAAACAATTACTACACATTTCATATTCTTGCCATCAACCCTCAGTAGTGTGTGCTTTCAAACTGTAATGAAGGCAGTAGAAGTTCTGAGATCATAAGGAGCGAAAGACAACTAAACCCAATGTATTTGTTCTTAATATCTACCTATTTCATCCAATGCAAATTCTTTGACTTTCAAACACCTGTAAATAATGCCAAAAGCTAAAAATGCTCCTCTTTGATCTTCTGTATTGGAGAAATCTGCTCTCCTATGAATTTTTACAGGCTGATATGACTGAACAGGCTGCAGTGAGGAAGCAGTAAGCAAAATCTGTACAAAGAAATAACTGATGAAAGAAAATCCCTCTGTATTGAAAGAAAAGTAGTGAACTGTGAAATGTCAAAAGTCAAGATGAGGCAGATTTTACAGAAAGGAATTTGAATGAGGCATGTGAGTTTCCTTGAGCCTGTAAGTAAATAAAAAGGTGGAAGCAGGCCTCTGTGCTTTAAGAATAGAGTCAAGGCAGAAGAAAAAATGTCACAAAGACTCTATAGATAACTGGATCACTTTTTCACAGAAGAGTTATGTAAAGCAAAGAGGTCAAGATGGGACAGCCAACGACAGGAATGTAAATGGCTACCTCCAAAGAGTTTAACAGCAAAGTTCATATAAAGTGCACAATCCCTAACCCTGCAATCAGTAAGATTAGAGACACGGAATTACAAGCCTGGTAGTGTAGAGTCACCCACAGGAACAGCATAAGCTTGAATTTAGAGAGCTTTCCTGACAGCTTTGTAGAGTGTGCAAAGGTGATGCAGCTCCCTGGGGACCAAAATTCCACTTTTGTCTTTCACATACTTGGTTGCAGTGTTAGCACAGCCCAAATCTGCAGTACTTTTGTTTCTGTTTCAGTTGAGATTTGCGGAAACAAACATTTTAAGCCAAATACAACCTCAATGTTTGCAGATTGAGCTTCACTATGAGCCAGTTTTCATACACTTTTCCTTGGATAGCAAACTGCCCTGCATGAGACTACAAATCACTTACTGTGGACATTCAGGGTGGTCTGTGGAACTGAGTCCTAACTAAATGCAGGTACAAAAAGTAGGTCTTAGTAACCATCGGTCCAAGATGAAGATATAAAATTCCTTAATTTTCCATATTCCAAGCAAAATAGAGTTTATTTGTGACAGTCAAATTTCAAAAACTTTGTAGAGGTGACTATCAATTGATAAACTGCTTATTCCTTAGAAAACATTTTATTTTAGAAGTCCCACTTTATAAGACCATCCTAACTGTTCTTATAAAATTGGATTGTTAGGACTCCAAGTATTGACAAACATTTGTCAGAACTGTGGATCCAGAGAAGACCAATGGAAACATCTGACCTGCTGATATGTGGTCTATTCTACATTAAAACCACAACCTGAGGTAACAAAGAGCTTTTTAGGTGTTTGAAGATTAAGTAAGAAAGCAAGGGTCTTTTAAAAAACAGAAATCCTAAAGGTTACAAGGAAGGGAAATAAAGCAAAAGAAGATGTCCTTATAAAGACTTAAACAGGGCGCTATATACAGAAATAGTTGGTAGCAGCAATGAGACTCATTATTTTTAAATCTGACCCTTTTTGTTGTTAGCAGGCAATTAATTTATGTTACATTGGGTCCCACCCATGTAAGAGAATAAAGCACTGCTGACTGCTCTTTACTGAAGTGCACTCATATTTTGCTCTAGAGTTTCTAAGCTGCTCCAATCATTGCCACAGAAACTGCAGAAAATTATCCTATTTACTTAAAGATATATATTTTACTTACAGGAGCTATTTTACTTACTGGCTTTCCACACCAGTATCTTCCTGTTGCTGAAGGAGTTTGCAGGGTTTATGCCTGCAGTCTGAACTGGGCCAGACTTGCAATATTGATCTACTAAAATAACCCTGTACAAGTTAGTGGAACAGCATCCAGGGTTCCAACATCAACCCACAATGCTTTGTAACCAGTTAAGGAGGGGAGTGAAGAAAATTCTCATTTCAGGTATGTCTCTGTGTTTATTCTCTTGTGTGAATCTATTTTTTTAAAAAATACCAAAAGTAAAAGAAGGATGATTAATTATTCATTCAATAAAAAAATCATTAGAAGTGCAAAGAGACTGCACTGAAATCAGGACCACTGCTGTAAAGTGAGAATTTATTCACAAAGATTACAAAGAAATAGCAGTGAATGAAGCAAGAAGACAGAGATCTACTTATGTAGTGTGAATGTTTGTAAACATCAGAACTGAATGTGAAAGAAGAGCTGCCCAAGACATTTTATGAGGAATGGGATTTGAGCTTTGCACTGGCTATGAATTTCCCCCTGCAACACAACACAGTAATGCAAAGGAGGTCCAGAACTTCTGAACTGAAACACTGTATGACTGCAAATGTAGGTAGGTAGAAGATTAAAATTAATTTTAAAATTCTGCATTAGAATGAAGTATTTTAAGAGAGTTAAAATGAAAGTTAATCACTGTCTTCTTTATGCAATTCTGAGAGTCTTGTGCTATCATTTCACACCTACTTCTTGTTATGATTGTTGTTTTATTTCCAAGTTTAGACTTCTGGGCAGAGGTTTTATAAACTAATGAGCTTTATTTTGAAAAAAACTGCTGCTTCATATTCATACTGCTTAATAAGTAAAAAAAAGCATCAAGTGAGTTACACAGAAATCTGGAGCTTATAAACATCCTCTATGCATAGCATAGTCAGATATTAATATATGCCTGCCAGGAAGAAGCTGGTTTGTATGACAAGTCTGGCAGCTGTACCATAAGTATAACATCAAATTGTCCAAGTGCCACACCTAGTCCAAATGGGCGAACGTTAAATTACAGGAGCAGGTAGGCAGAACCTTAAATTGCAGAACTTACTCCTAGCTAAAATATTCCCCCCATCTTTAAAAACGTGTACTAGCACAAGTCTCAAGGATATGGCTACACATATACGAATTCATAGTATAAAATCATGCTTTTCAGAAGTTTGTCTAACCATGGCAAAATTCAATATGGACATGTCAAAATTATATTAGAAAGCACTGGTAATTTAGAACCCTACATTACACAGCATTCACATGCCTCAAATCTTATTTCCTATTTCGCCTCCTTCTGCCGGTAAAAACAGAAACGCAGCCAGTGGCGTCTGCAATAAGTTGGAACGCTTGGTCCCTTTAAATGCCAGCGGTGACAGCGCCCTTCTACAGCTCAGAGCACTTCACGAAGCGGCCCAGGAGACACACGGCAAGTTAAGGAGAAATCAACAAGCGGAACAAGAACTTTTATCCCGGGAAGGGCCCGGCGCTCGCTCATCCCGCGGAGCGCAGCCGGAGCGGGACAGCGGCCCCGGCCCCGGCCCCTGACCTGCTGCACGCCCGCCGCTCCCGGGTACAGATCCACCACCAGCAGCAGTGGCACGTGGACGTTTTTGCCGCTGAAGAGCCGGGGAGCTGTGAGGGGACAGAGAGCGACAGAGAGACCGCGTTAGCGACCGGCAGCGGGCGGGACAGGGCAAGGCAGGGCAGGGCGCTCACCGCTCTGCCGGGCCGCCAGCTCCAGCAGGTCGCTCAGGGTCTGCACCAGCGTCTCCAGCCGCTTCCTCTCCTGGACGTTCTGGAGCCGGACGACCAGCTTCCTCAGGGCTTGTTCCTCCCCCGCCACCGCCTCTCCCTCCTCGGGGCCGCCGCTGGCCATGGCCGAGCCGCTGCCCTCGCTGTGCCCATCCGCCGGTCGGCGGGACGAGCGCAGGGCTGGGCTGGGCTGGGCTGGACTGGGCGGTGCGGGCCCGTCCCGCTGCTGCAGCCCCGCAGTGCCGCCGCCCGGCCGCCGTCACCCGGCCCTGCCGAGCCGCCCCTGCCGCGGCCTCCGGCCCCTCCCACGGCGCCGCTCCATGGACAAGGCCAAGGACCGGCCCCACGGGCGGGCGAGCGGCCCCCGGTAACCTCTGGGAAACGCCCGAGGGCCCCGCGCAAGCGCCCGGCAAGCAGAACGGACCCGCGGGCAGCTCCCCCTCACAGTGATTGACGAGAGACTGCCCAATGGAGCTGCCGAGCCGGACCGGGTCCGCCCAGCAGCGCCGCGCTGTAAACACCGGCCACGGGGCGCTGTGGAACGGGTGGGTTTGGTTTCTGGGTTGGGTGAGCTTTGGTGGGGGAAAGGATTTGTCGTCCTGTGGGATACCTGCACTGGGGCAGTCTGTTCCTGAAAGGCTCTGCCCTGTGGAAGGGTGTGGAGCGGAGCCTGGGAAGAAGGGAGGGGTGAGGTGAAGGTGATTTAAGACTTCATTTCCATCTCTAATTGCTCTACTCTAATTTGTTTGGCAATAAACTAATTTCCCCCAGCTGAGTCTGTTTTGCCTGTAATGGTGATTGGTGAGTGATCTCTTCCTGTCCTTATCTTGACCCGTGAGCCTTTTACAATGTTTTCTCTCCCTCCTCTAGATAAGAACGTGAGTTAGCGAGTGGCTTTGCTGAGAAGCTGGTGCCCAGTGAGGTCAACCCACTGCAGTCCTTTTTGGCCCCCACCACATTGCTCTTGCCTGATCCCACAGACGCCTGAAATCTTCAGTGTGTATCTTCTGTGAACCTTGATAGTAACTATTGTGTAGTTGAAGTCTCTCTGCTTGTTCCAGCTCACAGCTGGCTCAAAGTCCTGGATCACTCTTAGTTCCTTCAGTAAATAACTTGTAGCAATTATAGATTCCTGAGCTAGACAGCTTGAGCCTGAGTTATTGTTTCCTCTTCTTTCTACTTATGTTGGCAAAGAATAAAAAACTGTGCTAGTGTTTCTGAAGTTCCTGAAGAAATACAGGAACTAACTTCTAGAAATCAGGTGTCTCAAACCCTGATCTTCCAACATGTCTCCCAAGGTTCATTCCTCTGCAGGTAGCAGTTCCCTGGAGTGCTGGTTGGAGACGATGCCAGCTTCTGCTAAGTCTCTGGAAGTCTGATAGAGTTTGGCAAAAGTCTTCTGAAGCATATTAATTACTTAGATAAGAGGAGAATGGAAAGAATGAGGTAATCTTGGTAAGCATCTCTATTGTAGCTTTTCATGATTTTTCTGGGAAAATCCAGTGAAGATACATTAATATCTTCACCAGAATGAATGGGGAGAATGGGGAGAATTCAAAACCAGAAGGTTTAGGTTGAATACTAGGGAAAAAAGTCTTTATTGTGGGGGTGGTGAGGCACTCTTACCAGGCTGCCTGGGGAAGTAATGGATGTCCTATCCCTGGGGATGCTCAAAGCCAGGTTGGATGGGGCTCTGAACAACCTGGTCTAGTGGAGAGTATCCCAGCCCACAGAAGGAAGGTTGGAATGAGATAGTCTTCAAAGTCCCCTTCCAACCCAAACCATTGTATGATCTGTGGAAGTGATTAGAGATTGTGACTGAGCTATCTTGTGTTGTTGTCTGGCAGGAAAATTGAGGTCTGATAGTAAAGGGATGTAGTTGTCTGAATGCCATTCTTAGCATGAGGAAAGGGCAAAAGACTTTTATCTCTGGAGCACCTCTTAAATATGTTTCTGCTCTGGAAGTTTCATATATTTCTGACCTCTTTCTAATGTTCCATCATTGAGTATGGATGGCTTACATGATGACCAGTTCTTTAACTAATTTAAACAATTTCTTCTTTTTTTGTTGTGTCTCAGTATGTTCATTCCACATCTTCTGTTCTCTATCACCTATAGCATGTTGTGTTGTTTTATGCACATAGTTTGAAAAGACTGTACAGAGTCACAGAATTAACTGGGTTGGAGAAGATCTTTGAGATCATTGAGTCCAACCTATGACTAACACCACCTTTTCAACTGGACCATGGCACTAAGTGTCACATCTTTTTATTTTAAACACCTCCAAGGACAGGGGCTCCATTTCTTTTTGGCAACAGGCTGAAATTCCACATCTTACAGTCTTCTGGTTTGATTTAGCAATTTCCATGGCCTCATCATCCAATGTATAATGCATATTGTTATATTTTCTTGAAATCAGTGTCATATGTGAGTAGAGGATGCATTGACAGTTAGAGAAACTTTCTAAGTGACCACAATGTTAGATTTGGCTGTAACAAAACTGTATTTTGTTTTAGGTCCATGTAGAAGTTGATTGGGATAGGAGCGTCTGTTGGTATAAGGCTGCAAAGGGGACTCCAAAAGAAAGGGCAAGCTGCTAGAGAACACAACAGAAGACCCTCAGGAACTTTTTGTCTGAGTTATGGCCCATGTCTGGGCCTAAGTCTCATCCCATTCCTAGGATTTGTTTTAGAAATGAAATCCAGGTTGGAGCTCCAGGTTGATTTGAGTTGTTAAGGGGCCGTTTTTGCCTTCTGTTCTCAGCCATCTCTAATGTCTCTTCTGAAAATAATTCTCTTGTCTTGGGCCCATTTCACTCTCTTGGCTATATACATTTTCATGTTTGGAATAAAATTTTCTGCTACGTGTTTTAATTCACACTTGATATTATCCATCTCTGATTGGCTTTTGCTATCAGCTGTGTAGCAGGTCCCTCATTTCTTCACCCTTCCTAGCTTTGATGTTGACAGTGATTTAAATGTTCTATGGTGCTAATAGGGTCAGATATCAGAGAGGATGCAGAGAGGGATTCTGGGTCAGCTGTGAAAGGACTGTATATTGCAGTGTGATACAAGTATTTTTCAGAACTGAAACTTCATAATTTTGACAGGAGAGGGAGGCTGTGTGCAAGGAAAGACTGTAGGCTGTTGTTTCTGCGTTGCTGGGAAGGAAGGTGTTTTTCTGGAACAGTTCTTTTCCCTGGATCCTTGCTAGTTCAGTTGGGCTTTTTCAGGGCTGAGCTCTCTTTGGATTTTCTTTCTGTTTGGTTTTGTGGGAAGGAATGTATGTGAGAGTGAGTTTGGGATTTTGTGGGGGAGGTTCTGAATGTTTTTTGTTTGTTTTTTTTTTTTTTCCTGAGTTTTTTTTGTTGTTGTTGTTGTTGTTGTTGTTTGTCCTTTGTTGGTTTTTTTCTCCTTCTTCCTGCTCTCCCATTATTTTATTTGCAGTGCTTTACACCACCTGGTGAGCCTGCAGGAGCTGTATTAGGTATTGCCTGGGGACTCTCCTTTGCAAGCTCTTTCTGACAGAGAGCAATGTCAATCAGGTCCATTTTTTCACATTCAGTTTTGTCTCATCATACTTCCCCCAGAGAGGAGAATGAAAATTTAATTACACAAGACTTTATAACCACCTTTTTTTTGGTTTTGAAATCTGCTTTGAAGAGCCCATGCATATTTATCACTGAAGGCATAATACTCTGAATAAATATTCTTTCCATTGTTGCATCCCCACTCTGTGAGTTTTAACCCTGCAGCTGGAGAGGGGGTGGTGTTAATTTGAATGACAGAAAGTGCTCAGACAGAGTCTGTTCAGAAGTGATATGACAGTTATTTGATTCACCCCTCGACAAAATGCTGATAAATGGTCCCTCTGCTTTTATGTTGTAACCAGCAGGGGCTCTGTGGTGTTAATGAATTCATTGCTTCAGAAAACAGTGGCAGAGCAGGTATTCTACCTCAACCTTTTCAGCTCTCATTTTAGCTATCAGGGATTTAAATTTTAAAAAGATTAAGTACTGTGAATAGGCCCATACTTATCCACTGCTCTCTATATGTGAAGGTCCATCATCTTCACAGCTTCCAAATTGATGGGCTTGAACAGGCACTCTCTTTGCTGGGTAGGGAACTGGCTGATGGCTGGGCCCAGAGAGTGGTGGTGCATGGTGATACATCCAGGGGGTGGCTGCTCACAAGTGAAGCTCCCCAGGGGTCAGTATTTGGATCAACCCTGTCTAATACCTTTATCAATGATCTGCACAAGGGGATCAAGTGCTTCCTGTCAGTTTGTGACAAGTTGGCACCAAAGTGGAAGTGCTGATCTGCTGGAGGGTGGGAAGGCTCTGCGGAGGACCCTGGACAGGCTGGACAGGATTGATGGGCCAAGAGCAATTGTGTGAGGTTCCACAAGGTCAAGTGCTGAGTGCTGCACCTTGGTCTCAACAACCCCTCAACAATGGAGTGCTGAAGGCTGGAGCTGAGTGTTTGGAGATCTACCTAGTGGAAGATCTGGAGGTACTGGTCAACAGCAGCTGAACATGAGCCTGTGTATGGCCAAGAAGGCAAATGGCATCCTGGCCTTGATCAGAAATATACCAGCAGGACCAGGGCAGTGATTGTCACCCTGTACTCGGCACTGGTGAGGCTGCACCTCAAACCCTGTGTTCAGTTTTGGGCCTCTCACTGCGAGAGGTGCTGGAGCAAGTCCAGAGAATGGCAGTGAAGCTGGTGGAGAGTCTGGAGCACAAGTCTTACAAGGAGCAGCTGAGGGAGCTGGCGCTGTTCAGCCTGGTGAAAAGGGAGCTCAGGGAGACCTTGTTGATCTCTACAAGTGCCTGAAAGGAGGCTGTGGCCAGGTGGGGGTCAATGTCTCCTCCCAAGTAGCAAGTGATAGAACAAGAGGAAATGTCCTCAAGTTGTGTGAGGGGAGGTTTAGATGGGAAATTGAGAAAAATTTCTTCCCTGAAAGGGTTGTCCAAGCCCTGGAATGGGCAGTCCAGGGAAGTGGTTAATTCACCATCCCTGGGGATATTTAAAAGACGTGTTGATGTGGCCCTTAGGGTCATGGTTAATGGTGGACTTGGCAGGGCTGGGTTACTGATTGAACTCGATAGTTTTAAAAGACTTTTTCACTCTAAATGATTCTATGAAATGTACCTTTCTGAAAGCAGGTAATCTACTTGC